ATTAGTAAGCACTGAACTTGTCTTGGTTCATTTTGTTTCACTTTGTTTTTTCTGTACTCTCGCTGCAGTGATCCAGTTTAGCTTTACCACCATATTTGTGGCGGCATTTCCACTTGCTCCTCTGTTTGCTCTCCTCAATAATGTGATTGAGATCCGCTTGGACGCCATTAAGATGGTCACACTGGAGCGCAGAATGGTCCCAAAGAAGACCAATACTATTGGTAATTATGAACTATGGATATTAGTTTATTTTGGATTCATGCATGTTGACGGTTCTTTCGTTTTTCCTCAGGCATCTGGATTGACATACTGGAGGCTATTGGTGTTTTAGCTGTCATTGTAAATGGGCTGGTAATTGGAGTTTCATCTGATTTTATCCCTCGACTTGTGTATCGTTACGTCTATGGCCCATGTGTCAACGGCACAGCAGGGGTGAAAGAGTGAGATTTTTTCCTTTTCTTTAAAATGGTTTTATGTTGCCATAAAACATTTCCTTCATCTTCATTCTTGTGCCTCAGCTGCATGTCTGGTTACATCAACAACACCCTCTCTGTAGCGTCAATGGCTGATAGCAAAGTAAAGTTTGACCCAACCCAAATGTTCACAGATGGAATCATTGCTACTTCATGCAGGTTTGTTTTTCTTTCAAATTGCTTTTAAAAGTTTTTTTTTAAATAAATAAAAATGATTCTGTCAGCACGCATATTTTCCATTGTGCTTCTTTTCACAGCTACAAAGATTACAGAGATTCTGACTTTAATGTTACCCATCAGTTTTGGCTGATTTTAGCCTTGCGCTTTGCTTTTGTTATCCTCTTTGAGGTAAGTCTTGTCAACTACAAAAACCTGAGCTTAAAAACTTTCTTTGAAAGCAATAGTGAAACCAGTCATTGTTTTAAATTTTTTAAAAGCTGAATGACAAGCTTGGGAACAAAGCACATTCTGCATGATGACATATGGAGAAAAGTATTGCATTCCTAACTTTATCTACTCTCTTTGCAGCATGTTCTTGTCATATGTAAGTTCATTGGATCTTGGTTCATTCCGCCTTCGCCGATGAATGTGAAAAATGAAGGACTCCTCGACAAATTCAATAGACTTCAAGAGGAACTAAAGTGAGTCTCTGTTTAGTTTCATTTCGGAAGACCTAATCTCAGTATAATAATTAACTACATACATGTACAGTAATTCATTATTCAGACCTCACTAAAAACAAGCAACATAAAAATATGATGTTTCACAGACTCAGACTTCTGTCTGTACTTTACCAAACAGAATTACTGCTAAGTTTTTTATAGTTATTTTTCCGCAACAGTTACGCTCCTTATGAAAAATCTTGTCAACCTCAAAATAAAAGTGTGACATTATCATGTTTTCTGAAGTAAGTCATTTTATTTATATAGCACATTTTCAGCAACAGCAACAAGTGCTTTACATGAATTAGAAGGAAATACAAACAAAACAAAAAAACCATAAGAAAGACTAAAAGGTAAATGTATAAAACTGCATATTGGTTCTTATCCATAAGAATAAACAGTCCACATAAACTATCAGGTTTCTTGGATTCTTGTTGGTTCTCCAGGTTTGGTGAGAGTTCAGAACAGTAAGCCAGGCGAGCCAAACTCGGTCTCATTACTTCAGGGTAATATTAATAAAAGCAAAACACACCCAAATACATGGCAAATAATTTTAATATTATTTTACAAATAGGAATCTGAAAAGTGTGGTGCAGAGCAGCTTGTTCATGTCTCTATTTCATACCCAATATGGCTTGAAGCAGAGTGCAGATAGATTTCTTTTATATTTTTAGTAACAACTAAATGTCAGCCAGGCAGCAGATCCTCCCACCTGAGTACCGCATGTCTGAAGCTCCTCCAGAGTTATTCTCTGATTTATGCTCTCTTGTAGTGTATATCAGGTGCACATTCAATTTAAACAAAATTGAATCAAAATATCTTTTGTCACTCATATTGTTATTCAGCAGCAGAGGAAGCATAATAAAGCAGCAGAGGAAGGGCATTTCTTTTAGCAGTGACACGTTTTTTCTGTTTTGTTGCATTTTTCATCATTGTCTGTAATGAAGATGTTTAAACAGATTAAAATATGAAACATATTATTCTGGCTCAGAGTGTGCAATTGATATCTAATGACTTCAAATATTTCCTGCAGGTATTTCAAGTCTGACAGTGTTTGCACGCCTTGACAGGACGTATTTTACTGTGAAAACACAACCCCTGTGTGGCCTTGTGCATCTATGTGTAAAGCTGGAGCAGTTTGAAACATTTTATAATTACCCTGAAGAGATCAACAGTGAACTGAATGGACACTGTAAGTGCTCCCTGGATTGCACACATCGTTTTGGTCCATGTATGGAAAAGCTTTACAGAAACACAGCTTTCTTATTGTTGGATTCATATCGATAAGGTCAGAAATTCAGACATGATATTTGCATGGTTCTCATACTAATTTTGGAGTTTTGATTATTTGATTTGTCCATTTTGAATGATGATAACATACAGTTTCAGGGGCAGTTAAAACCAAGGATTGACATTGGGTTAACATATAGATGTGGGCTTAGTATTTTAATGTGTCATCTTTGCAGTTGTATGTTGTGTAATCATTTCATATTTTATTTAATAAAAAGCATGTTTTATTTTTTTTTAAATCACTAAAAGTACCAAAATACTAACAATTATGCCCATGTTGAATGGATGTAAACCCCTGAACAGAAGTGTGTGTATACTGTAACTGATATCACTGACCTAGCCTTTTATAACATTGTTGGTATTATATACTGAGTTTTGGCTGAGAGCTTAAGTGTTGGATCTGTGATTTTGAGCCATACAGTATATGACTATTCTATGAAAGTACTAAACTGCACATAGACTGCTGATTGTGTTATCATGATGCCTTAAGCTGTAAAACAAAACAAAAAAATTGCTTGTTGCTTTTTTCAGATAGTTTGTTTATGTAAGGAAGAATGTTTTCCATTATTATATTTTATATAATTGAATAAAATAAGAGATTTGAATGTATAGGAGATATTGTTTATGCCTGTATTTTTGTTTTGAGCAATAATAAAGCTTCTTAACTAATATTTCTAAATAGCATGTGGTCATAAACTGATGATTGTCTTTATAAATAACTGAATAACTAAGGTAAATTACATGAGGCACTAAAATCATGATGTTTAAATCTACTCTGCCTGTAAACATTTACTTTAATGAAGACATTCAGTGATCAACAATGTAAGTTTTTGTCATGTTTAAGTTTAAAGCAAGACCAAAATGCAGATGTGAGTTTGGTGTAATCAAAAACAGACGCTGAGGAGGAGAACATGAACATGCAGGATGATAGGAAACACAAATGAAAATGAACAATGAAACCAGTGAGCTATATGAACAAATCAGGGCGTGGAGAAAGTCGTGTGATCCAATTCTGATCAGGTAATTGAAGATAGCTGTGCAAGGAAGCAGAACTAGTAGGCTAAGAAACACTTTAGTAAACTTAACTAATACTCAAAGAAACAGCAAATCAGGGGGAAGAACAACACTGATGTAAGAGAACAAAATCCAAACTCAAAAACAAAACAAAAATGCTCAGGTTTCTCAGGATGCAAAAGATGATAATATTTATGTCACACGTGATTCAAATCAGCTGCATTTGTTAACTTAAAATCAAAAGACAAATATTGCTGAATTTGCTTAAAAATGTTTAGGCTGCTCAGCATTGATTCCACATTTGGATATTTTATTTACCTGCCTCAGGAGTATTTTAGCTGCCAGTTTTTCTGATGCAGAGGAGAAATTACATCACAGAGCAAGATCCTCTTGGCTGCGAACCTCTGAAAGACAAATCCTACATAGGCACTGGTGTCCAGGTTGAATGTCATGCTTTAAAAATAAAAATGTGAGGCATGCTTGTAAAAGATAAAAAAAAATGTAATTCTTAATAGTATGAAGCTTCCTTGCACCATGTTCTTGTCTGGTGAAAATCCATTGCAGCCTGGCTTGTGCCAGCAGCTTCCCCGCATGTGGAGAAAGATCTCAAAAGGATTAAAAAAGAAAGAAAAAAGGGGGGAATTTCAAAAATATGACGGTTTTAAAAATCACAACCAAGCATGGTTGCACTTGACGCGTAAAAATCTCTACAATTTCTTCATGTTTAATGGATTTCTTTTAAAAAAAACACATCAGGGATATATGTCTCATTAATTCAGACCTCTTGAGCTGTTTTTGTGTGACAAGATCAATGATTCAAAACCGAGAATTGGGAGAACAAGAATTAATCTATTGTTTAGATTTTTTGATCCACACAGAGTCAAAACTGTGAATATGAGTTCAATTTTTGCACATACTGTGATTTAATAAACATTGTGTACTTTTTTTCATTAAATCACAACAGTTTTGTAATATCTAATCAGGCTTTCTCAGATAATAACATTACAACCAGGCTTATTGGCCACTCCAAAGGTCCCTCCAGATTTCTCTTAGGTCTGAATGTTGGTGTGTGGTAATTTATTTTCTGTGTTGCCATGTTGTACATCTTAGACAGGTTGCCTGCCTCTTGTCCATGGAGGCTTAAATCACCCCCTCATGTGTGATGTATTTTTAATATCCTGTGACTTTCTCCTGGGTAAAGTATTAGAGGTCTTGAGCTGTATATAAATATCTGCAAATAAAAGGTTTGGTAAATAATTTGAATAAAAATGAAATAATTTTTTTTTTTTTCATTTAGGGCGCGTCACGTGCCCTAAATTACCGGAAGGCCCAAAAGAAATCAGGTGAATCCTTTTTAACTTTCTGAAAGGATCAAATAAAAATGTCATTAACGTTACTGACAGTGGTAATAGTTTTGCGGACAGTCCAACCAGCAGGTGTGCTGAGGTGAAACCGGAAATACACCTGCGCGCCGTTCAAATGTCAATCTGAGAGCTCGGTCATCACAGTTTTAGCCACTGGAAGCAGAAGAGGCAGTTCTGTGAGTTTCTGCTGTTCTGCAGGTTATTTGCATTGCGGCCACAGGTAAGAGGCGCGCGCGTCACGTGGTCCGGAGCTAACCAATCACGAGTGGCGCTTCAGGTTCTTCCAGGTACTGATGAAACAACAAGCTCAGGTCTGCGCAGCCACTTGACAAACTAAATGGCGATAAAGTAACATTTTTGACTGTTGTTGGGAGCGACGTTCGCAAAGAAAGCCTCGGAGGAGGCCTACCGTCCGGCCTGAGGGAGGAGGACGGGGAAAGTTTGGCTCATGGCTCTGCTTTTAGCTGCTTTATTAATAGTCTGCGGGATATCGAACAAGGCCATCGTCATCGGTAAGGATGGACAAAAGTGTTCACTTTAGTAAATCTTTAATCATCTTTCTTCAATTGATTATTAATGATAACCTATGTATCAGATTTACGTGATGCTTGTAGTGCAGGGTCAGTGTACATGTGGACAAATATGTGGTCATATTTGTCTCGGAGTCACATGTTTGTTGCCTGGCAACAGGGTTAAATCTGGACTTTGAACCCGGATGATCTAGTGACATTTGGACATAGTGAAAGAACCAGACAGGGTATTTTTATCAGGGAAGGTTAGTTATTTATTTTAAAGTCACAATACATTCATCATAACCCTAAATTCCCAATAAATCTGATGCTTTTAAAATAATCAGAAAACCAGATTTGGTTACACTATAATTTGAGTTTTAAGGGTAATTAACTCAAAATCACACAAAGTCAATAAAATATACATACCAAGCTCAAATCAAGCACAGTTCACACATTTTCTTAGGTGTTCAAGCTTTGGGAAGAACATCCCTTTAGTTTAATGCTTGCCTTGTTTGGGATGACGGTCCCTACAGGAGATTTAGCAGCTGGTTTCAGACAAAGTTGAAGAACTGAATGCACCAGTGCTATAGAAAATAAAATAGACCCTCAGCATGATAACGCCACTAACATACTAGACATTTTATTACAGTACTTTGAGGTTGTTAGGTCTAAGAGCGACCCCTCCACCTGGTGGTGCATGTGTTAGCCATTGACTATCACATGAAGGCCAAAATGAGAGTTGTTAATCTCTCAAAACCGCTTTTGTTTTAATTGTCCAGAGGGAGAGTTGGGGAAAACAAATATCACTCACTCAAAGGTCTATTGAAACAAACAGAGACACTTGATCATTAACTTTCAAGAGTGTTATTTCATCATGAATCCAAATCCATTAATTTGCATTTTATCAAAACTGATTTTTTTATGTTGAACATTAAATTGTTGATAAGATTTACTTTGATCTAAAAGTTAAAAAATAGTTGTTTAATTGTTCAGCAGTCATGGTCAAAATAATAAAGTCTTTATAATCTAGAGACTTGATCTTTTTTAGAAGTGTGTAACTCTGTTTCTTTTTGTAGGTCAGACCTGTGTGGATGAGAGCAGGTTTAAGGAGCATGTGGCTTATTTAGGGCCTTCATATGTACTGCAGTGTCCTCTGCAGACACTTCAGCCTCAAAGTCTCCCCCGTTCCCTATGGACCTGGCAGAAGGACTGTCAGCCGCTCCAGAATCAGGAAGGGAATGCCTTCCTGAAGTTCTCCAGCATCTGTTTAGAGGACCAAGGAAACTACACTTGCGCTCAGCAAGGAAACAGTACCCCGTCATTCACTGTGCGCCTCGTAGTAAAGGGTGAGCATAAAGCTCATATTTACCATCCAGTGACTGCCTTTACATCAAGCATTTACTGTGGGCAGTTCTCACTGAACACTGATACCTGTGGTGTGTCTTTGCAGAGTCTCGGTGTGTTAAAGCTCCAGATTTTAAACCAAACGGCGACCCAACCAAACTCTGGAGGAGTGTGGGCTCTGTTGTGACACTGAACTGCACTGCTCTGCTCTACTGGGACCCATCAGAGGAGCAGTGTGAAACCACACTACACTGGAGCAAAGATGGCCAGCCACTCACCAACCACACTCTCTACCTGCACAACACAACATCATGGTCTTTTCAAGCATCTTTTTTTAAGCTGTTTGGTTAATTTCAGTTCACTTTGTGCCTGATATTTGCAGAGGAAGGTAAGAATATCTTTTCTCTTATTTATCAGGTCCCCTGATGCAGGCCAGCTGGTTGTCAGCAATCTCTTGGAGTTCACCCTGAGAGAGGCAGAGGATTTTGGGCTTTACAGCTGCACTGTGAGGAACATTTCTGCTGACTTCAGCCTGCAAAATTCAAGTAAGACAAGTTGCGAAACATTTTGGGCTTTTCTGCTCTGAAGGATTTTTAGAGAATTAAACTTGTTTGTTTTTTTGCATACAGACCTTTCCTCATTAGATTTTTTTCCTGCATAATTTACATACCTTATTATTTTAGAAATGACTCCAGGAAAATGAGAGGTGCTCCTCGCAGAGCGTCCCTCCCCTGACACTCCCCCTTTCAGCTCCTTCAGATTATCCAGCAGCCAGTAGCAAACACCAGGTGGAACTGTGCATCAGCTGAGCTCATTACATGAGCTACTTTCACTGAAATGCTGAAAAAAGTCTTAGTTTACAGGGGAGCGCTGTTGTGACGACTTCCTGACGATGGAGTTTCAAACAGAGCAGGGGTTTTTAAGTAGACAGAGTCCCAATTTCAAGGTGTTAAATTTGTTTCACGTCATTGATAGTATTTTTGCAGCACAATGTGCCTTGAAAATGCTCAACGCTGCCCCTTCAGTATTACGTATGTGCAGCCCACACAGTCTTATCCTGCAGAAACTCACCTCTTGTGGAGACTTTCCCTCTCACAGGAGGGGTAAGCCACTAAAGAATACAGCTAAATAAGCAGGTTTTGCTGTATCCAAACATGTTAATGGAAAGTTGAAAGGAAAGAAAAGGTATGGCAGAAACAGGGCCGCACCCTAGATGGAGTCAAGACTCTTCAGCCTCATTATTATGAAACAAAGTCCATAAAGGAGTTTTTGGGCAGATTCTCGAGGTATTGACTGCAGTGGGAGTCGACACTGCAGGAGGCACAGCCATCAGGTGTGTTCACAATGTGAACTACAACTGACACATTCCTTATTACGCCACTCCTGGCTCATTGAGAAAATGGGCTGGGCTGTTGCAAAGGGATCCAAACTCCTATTTTCAGGTCAAAGTAAATTTTGTATTCATTTGAAAAGGAAGGTCTTAGAGTCGGGAGGAATGGTGCAGATAAGCAGAATCCAAGCTGTCCACCAGGAAGTTTCCATCTGCTGAAAAACATTATGGAGATGCTGATTTCATTTTGCAGCAAGATCTGACTCCTGCTCAGACCACCAAAAATAAAAAAGCACAGACCATGTTAGCCCTGTACTTGATAGGGTTCATCTAGTATGTAGTGTAGAAATTTCTGCATAAAATGAATTATTCTGAAATATTCAAATTTTCTCAGAAACTTAAATATAATTGCCATTAGCTGTAAGCTAAAATAAACAGTAGAATTTAAATCACTCCACATGAAATTTATCTCCTTTTTTGTTTATTTGGTGTAATTTGTCCATCAGCTGATATTTGTCATTTACTAATCTTAATAAATATACAACCTGATAATATAGCATTGTGAAATGCCCAGCTGTCGTCTAGATATAACTAAATAGATTGTCTCGTCTCATTACAATGTGTGTGTGTTCCCAGACAATCCCAGCCACACAGCTGCAGTGATCGCAGCCATCATCCTCCTCCTCCTGCTGGGAATAGCAGCTGTGGTTTACTCCAGGTGCCACCTGAATTTCAAGCTCTGGTACAAGAACTCCTATGGAGATTATGAACTGAATGGTGAGACTAGTCGAAGCGATGCGAGGTGGTTCTCGTGCAGAAGCATCAGTCTTAACTTCTGCTTTCTGTCTGTGTGTTTGCATCCGCAGATGGAAAATTATATGACGCCTATATCTCTTATGTCAACAATGATTATGACAGGAAGTTCATCAACTTTATCCTCAAACCTCATCTGGAGAATAAAAATGGGTACAAGGTGCACCTCAGTGACAACGATATCCTGCCTAACACTGGTAACAAAAGACTAGTTAGGACAAATATGATCAATATGTTACTAATGCTTGTTTTATGTAAACATACTGGCTTTCATAAACTCATAAATGTAGTGTAATAATTAGAAATCGGTCTTCTTTCTTAAACAGAGCCTTCAGCAGAGTTCCTAATGAACATAAGCCGCTCGCGCCGCCTCATAGTGCTTCTCTCTAACGCTTATCTTGAGCAGGACTGGTGCACAAATAATATCAGGTCAGTCTCAAACAACACAAATCTATTTTGTCATAAAGGAGCAATAAAAGGTAGTGAAAGTGTTTTGCAATTATGTAAATGCCCCACAAGAGGTCAGTGTTGAGTCTGTGAATTGAATTCAATTGAATTTACTTTATTCAACAGACTCATGGTCCACAAGATACACAACACAACATAAAAAAACAAGAGAAAATGAAAAATAAAATACAATAAGTAGTCATAAAAAATATAAATATAAATCTTATAGAAGACTTGAATACCAATGTTTCCAAAGAGCCGACTGGTATCTTAGCACACTAACAGAAGGCTGTGAGAACATTACAAGAAGATTGTTCGGTGAGTTACCCAAACGACACATAAACTTGTATATCAGATTTCTCAAAAGGGCCTGAAATGTTCTGACATGTGCGTTACAGAACATTTGACTTGCACTGCTGAACCTGGGTTTCTTGATCAAAATTCTCAAAGAGTCATTATAAGCAACCTTAAGCTTCTGCATACTAGTTTTTTTTAAATTTGCACCACAAAGGAGCTGTATACAAGGATGTACAGTAAGCTTTAAACAGGCTTATTTTTACCTCATCAGAGCACATATGCTTTGAGTCTGTGTGTTTTTTCAGACAGGGCCTCCTGCACTTGCTGGAGTTATGTCAGCAGCCCATCCTGATCACGTTGGACGGTCAGTTCAAACGCATGAGTCCTGAGATGAAGCAGCTGCTCAGTGAGAACGAGCACCGCCTCACCTTGCTCACCTGGAGGCACAACTCTGTGGTAAGATTTAAGAGAAGGCTTCTGCGTTGGGATTTTAAACCTCCATAAGAGCTGCAATGTCCATAAAGTTGTTTCTAAAGACAACAACTCATGAAAACTGCCCTATTATTAAGTCAAAACTGATTCAGAAACATAAGCATTGTTGTAACAAAACAAGCTACAAAGAAGTGATTAGTTTGTCTGGTAAGACTCGCAGTTTTAGAGATTAACTAAGTCTTTGCTTTGCATTGAGGTACTTTAAATTAGTTGCTGTTTAGCCTGACTCCATAAAAGTGGGTTTGTCTGATTTAACTGTTGAACTTTAGGTTTAAATGTTGCTTGATTGTGATTGGTTTCTTTAAGTATGTCACGCGCTCTTAAAAAAGCAGAGCGTTGGAGAAATGATCAAACCAGTTCCAAATGCTTCCCTTTGTGTGGCTTATTTTGGGGGCTAAATCTTTCAATTTAATTAGAGCCTAGATGTAAAAGAAAACATAATTTCCAAAAAGTGGAAACATATGCTGAAGGAAATTAAAGGAGTCAGTTTGTTCTAACTTTGTTTTCTGGGTTGCTGAGCCCAGTATTGGCAGCTTTATTTATTTAAAAGCAGCAACACAAAGACAGCAGAAATCAGTATTTTAAAATGATTTTTTTCAGTTTGTTACTTTATAAATTCTAATCTCAATTTATTTATTTGTTTTCGCGGGGGAGGAATTTATGGGACGGACAGACAATTGTAGAGTGAAAGAACAAAATATGCATATTTTTTCTAGTATGATATGCTTTTAATGTTTTTTTAGAAGAAGTCCTCTCTGCAGTCACAGCTGCAGGACTTTTGGGGGATGCACATCTAGAAATGTAAAATTTCACTCATTCTTCTTTGCAAGACAAAGTAGAGTACCTTTGAACTAAACATTTCATGTCTTGCTACAGACTTTCCATTGGACTGTAAATTGACTGGGACATTCTGAAATATGGATATGTTTTGATATAAGCCAGTCCACCATCCTGCTCAGACGCAAAAAAAATATTTTCTTCCAAAATCTTTTTTTTATATTGCAGATAGCTTACTAACTTTGATGTTACAAGGTCAGAAATTTCCCCATTGTGGGGCAAAAAATGACTTTTCTATTTTTATTCTCTTCTCATTATAATGTATTTGTTTATTTGTGGATATTTTTTTTTGTCAGACTCCTTCGTCAGCATTCTGGAAGGAGCTAGCATTAGCAATGCCTCGCAGAGTCATTTTCCACAAGGATTCTGCAGGCGACCCCCAGACTGTACTGCAGGATGATAAGGACCCCATGCTGACCCTTGACCCCGACTACTTGGACTGCCGCTTGGACACCGACCCTGCTGGAGATTTGGGTAAAACCAGTACTCATTGTATAAGTGGCACTTGTATATTTGAGTGATTCACACGCTTTTCCATCTGAGTAAGTAACTCAGAAATATAAAACAAACTTCCCATGGAGGTTTTTGTGTTAGATTTTTGAAATCTAACACAAAATAAGTTTTTGTGCAACAACATTTTAGGTTATTTTGACTGCTACATATTAAATATTCCTCTGAAATTAAACCCAAAAATCTTTTTAATGCAGAATGCACATCTGCACTTTGCAATAGTACATATTGGTGCCAGAAAGGGAAAACCCTGAAGCCTTCATTTAAACTGATGCTGATCTTCGTCTGTTCAAACTGTGCTAGATTTTTGGCGTTTTATTCTCAAAGATTAACAAGAGACTAATGAATAATTTCAACTTGTGCACAAATCTCAGTGATTTCAAGTATGTTATAGGATTAGCTAGTTTAGCTTGATTAAGCAAACTCAAGCAAGTGGAATTATCATCTATCTTGATGATGAAATGATCAATGATTTGTCATATACTTTAGGTCATTCTGGTGCAAGTTAAGCTCTGTAATTATAACTATAATGTTCCAGTGTTGGAGGTGCAGCACACACCCTCTCAGCTTTGTAGCTAAAAATTTAAATTACATAGCACCATTTCTAGCTTTGTAAGACATGCCTAAAATGAATGTAATGTCATTTTCAGCACTGAAGAAATAAGTGTTTCCACATGTTTTAAAATGTTGAATATTTAATTTAAAAAACAAATAATTTCACAACTATTATTATTATTTTTTTAACTATTAACTCTGCTTTTTCAGGTAGTCCTGCAACTTTAAGAACTTGTAGCACATGATTGACAGCCAATGTGGTCCCAACAAGAGAGCCATCAGTGGAAAGCTTGTGAAAGAGGAATGTCAAATTGTCCTGACAGAAAACGTTTAGAAAAATGCACATCGAAAGAAAAAAATATATATCGCCAATAGGAATGCACAGTGAATATGATGTGTATTTAGCTGATATGCACAAGTGCAGCACAAACACACTGAATTATGTAAACTGATAGTGGCAAAAGAACAACATTTAAAGAAATGTGGGGAGAAATATGAGATATTAGAAGTAGCTAAATAGTTTAAAAAGTTAAGTCGACTACTTGCTAACAAGACCCAGTTTTATTTGAAACCAGGCGAGGCATGTGGATGTTTTTACACGGCTTTCACGTTGTAATTTGTGATTTGCTGCAGGACTTCGTCTCCCGATGCACAGGGCTCTGGCCTGTAAAGCTCCTGTCCTTCCTGCTGCTCCGGTCGAGGAAGCTCAAGCAAAAGCCTCTGATATCGACGTCTCTGACCTGGGATCTCGCAGCTATGAAGCACGTTCCGACTTCTACTGCCTGGTCACTGAGGACATTTAATTCCTGCTTGGATGTAAAATTCATTACTATGTATTTCGGCTTCTTGCAGCCGTTTTTTTTTTCTTTTGCTATATATTAATCAAAATGCCAATTTATGTTAATTATCACAGATTGAGCTTTTCATGTTCTTCAGTTTTGTGACATTGCAAAGATCAGAAACACTAAAAGAAAATTTTGGTTGATTTTTGTAAATATTTATTTTCTTTTATTGCCTAAAGAAGAAAGTAAAGAGACAAAGACTTTGTTATTGAAATACTGTCATCATTTCAAATGAATGGATCAAACAGTGAAACAAAACACCGGACAGATCTTCAGCAGAATTAAGGTGCCTTTCTGTCCTCATGGAAAGAAAATTACCTGCAGGGAAAAAACAGACTAAATATGGGTGCAGCACTAAACAGCTCATTGTGTTCCTGTCTGAGCAGGAGCAAATATGTAAACCGGGTGTGGCCAGAGCTTAAGCACTTCAGTGCTTGTTTCAACAAACTGCATATACGAATAAGAAATTCCCACTTAAATTTTTCTCCCAATGTGTCTTTTTATTAGTTGTTAAAATTGGATGATACATGTGATGGTATAAAGCACACAAAAGTACAAAACCCACATATTTGACACCACTGATGCTGGACATTAATCTTTAAAAATCACATCTTAATATTTATTAACCCCAAAATAGAATATCTGTAAAATTTAAGATTTTGAAAAAAAGTCTCAAAGGTGCTCAGATGCAACATTCATCTCATTTATAAACTTCTTCAACTGAAAATATATATAAACTTTGCATACAACTTTTTACTCCACCAGCTGATTACATTTTTTTTTTTCAGATTTTCATTTTTAGTATAAGAAAACATGCAGATACATATGCATGATCCCCAAAGATGAAAGATATTTACATCCATTTTTTGTCTCTAATTTCCATTCGAATAAAACAAGATTCGACGCCGACTTGTATAAACAAAAATATTCAATCTGATATCTTTTTAAAATTAAAAGCACTATTTACAAAAATAACTTGTTATAGAAAAAGGTTCTCCCATCAACTTTTAAACCATTTCACTTAAATGTATGTTGTTATGACTGGAATAAAATCCATCAGCTTCTGTACAGTTTCCACAAATTAGAGTGCAGGCAAGATCTGTTCATAGTCCTGCTGCATCCGCGGTTCTCGTGCTGTTCTGATGGACCATTTTGAAAAAATACACAGCAGTTTGTCCCATGGGTCAGATCCTGCTTCTCAGGATCTAGGAATGAAGTCCGATTTCTTATAATTTTGCTGTAACACAAAGACAGAAATAACATTAGGGACAGAACAGTAATTCATTCCAAAAATAGACAGAGCCCTTGATTTCTTAATTTTGTCCCAAACACTTGGCATTATTTAAAATGGTTTGCTTTTGCTCATGTGTTTTAAACACAGATCACAGTGCTGGACATAAAAGAAAAGGTAACAAATATGAACACATTTTTCTTTTGTTTGGACTTGTTCATTAAGCAAGAGGCTGAAGGCCACACCCTTTGGGAGTGTCAATCTGCAGTAAATTCACAGGGAACGGCCCAGCGCAAGGTTCTGCTCGACTGCGTCTTTGCATAAGCATGTGAATGTGAGAGCTGCCTCAAGTTATATAACTTTTGAGCATGTGCAATCCAACTAATGTGGAAGCAGCAGGAATGGAGCCACACAGATGGAAGGAAGAATGAGGGGTGGCACTTCGACGTTTGGCAAAGAGCGGCTAAAATATGTTTACCAAACAACATGATGAAGTTATTCATAGAAGCTTGAGATTATTGCAGGAAATATCTGCAATGTCCATGAATGTGCACCACTCATGGACTTGTTAAATATGAAGTTAAAAGGTAAATTAAGAGTGAACATGATAATAATAATAATAATAATAATAATAAAGAAAGTATTCTTCATAAAACCTGACCAGAAGCAGCTCAGAAGTAATTTTTGGTAATGCTAGTGTATTGCAACAATTTTTTCATAAAACTCTAATAAAATTTTACCTTAAACACCTTCAACTTTATAACAACTGAAACACTGTGCTGTGAAGGCTTTCAAACATCCTAAGCTCATGGCAGCCAAAAGTGATCACAAAGAAATCATCAGTCGTGCAGAGCGTGAACATTTTTTATTATTTTTGAAGTCTCTTACCTTTCTGAAAACGCTGTGGAGTTTTCTGTAATTGTACATATTGCGAAGCACTATGCCTGCACTTCTGCTCACATCAGCCATGTCTGGGCTGGAAAACATTGCATAAAGTGTTAACATATTACAGGAATGAAAGATGTGTACCCAGATGCAATATTCTGCGTAAACATCTAATACAGATGAATTTAAATTGTATATGTAGGATAAGACAACGTGTCACATACGTGATCGCCGCAAATTCCTTCATGCTCATCAGTTTTTGCAAGCCAGAATTTTCAGTGATTCTCTTGGCAGAGTTGAAACTGCGCGCCACCATATTGTTGAGGACACCACAGAGGTTGATCACCACTTCAGGAGGAAGTTTGCTAGAGTTGGATGACTCTGGTAACTTCTTCACCACGACATCGACTGCTTGTCCAACTGAATTAAAATAGAGATATAGATTAAAAATTCAATTATTGCTGGAAAATGTTTTTTCACAACCAATGTTGTATTAACTAAGAAATCGTTTTTAAAACATAAACTTAAAATTCCATTAAAATATTTTGCTTCATTTCTACAAGAGAATTTGTTTGTTGCTTACAGTCTGAAGAAGAATAAGGTCTGGGTTAAAATATCCAAATCTTGTAAAAACATTAATTAAATAAGAATTGGTAACCTGTAATTCTTGGCATTTAAATGTTTTTACAACAACAAGTTGGACTCACTGTCAGCATGATTGGAGATGTTCCTCATCAAGCCACTGAGAACACGTAGCTCAGAGATTCTTTCTGACTGCATGAGATCCATCAGGGATGGCACCATCTTGCAGTCGTTCACGATGTAGCCGGAAATCTTTTCAGCCCACTGCAGGTTACAGACACAAAGTTTTACTATGTCACACCAAAAACAGTTTTACTTCATAAAGAGTTCTGCTAAATTTGTCGCCCACCCGCTCCTGTCCAGCGGTGATATTCTGCAGAGCTCCAAGGGCGGCCTCTCGTGTGGTGGAATTAATTTCGCATGATTTTATCACACTAAAGTACAAATGCACTATTTTAGGGTGCCACAGCCACTCCATGCCGCTTGGGTTTTTTGTTAGCTCAGCAGGTGAAAAGGATTTCTCAGCACACTGTTTCTGGTAATCAAAACAAAGGACACAAGAAGTCAGGCATACAACAAATCACAGTGCTGGCCCACTGTGATTGTGTCTTGTCCACAATACACAATCATCAAGGCTGATGACTGCTTACCCGTTTGAGTTTGCTGCTATTTGGTGAAAAGCAGCCGACAGTCTCCGATGAGGTAGTTTGACCAGAAGTCCAATTTGCTTTCAGAGATGGAGGCATTTCATCATACACTTGGAATGAGAGGTTCCTTAAGATGCACACCGTGTTCTCAGCATCCTTAAGCCCAAACACAAACAAGTGAATATAGGCACAAAGATGGATTTTGCTTGTACAGGAAAAATTGCTTCCACTCCCACCTTGTTTTGTATTTTTCCAGTGTCAATGGTGGTCATAACAACATCCACTAAAGACTCCACCAGCCCTTTTGTTGTTCGCATCTCTGTACGGACCTTGTCTGAGCCAGAGCTCAGATTCCTGAAAGCACAAAGCGCTTAACGTCAAGAGATGTATCATTTTAAAACCACCTATGACATCACTTCAAAAAGTGCAGTTCAACTTTTCAAAAGTCAGACAGATAACGAGACACTGGATGGATATACTAGTCGGTTATTCAGCAATCAGTTACAAAGAGCTTCTAAAACGTCCTGACTGCAAGAAGATGGAGAGCAAAAAAAAAAAAAAAAAAAAAAAAAACTGGAGAGAGCCAAACAGATTTAAAAACCAAAATCAACAAGCTGTGTTGATGCAACACAGCTTAGGCCATAATGGTTGTTTTTTGTTTGTCAGCTAATGTTAGTGAAATGACAGGGCTGAAGTTGATCCTGTCCGAAGTCTGTGACAGTTTCCACCATGCAAGTTTAGTATCTTGTGAAAGTTTTAGAGATATTTAAAAAAAAAAAAAGGTCATAGAGGCTGGAGTTGCTCATCCAGGTATGGCAGTAAATAAATTCTGACAATTTATTGTCGTTTTTTTCCACATTTCCAGTGAAAATATTGAGCCAAGGTCAAAGCAGAGTTGGAAGAGTTTGTCTTGACTTGCTGTTTGAAACAACAGATCAGACGTCAGAGTCTCTATGGAAGCTCCTGAACAGAGTTTGATGGCTGAAGTTGACATTTTAAATTAATGTGCGATGTGCTTCAGCACAGAAACATAAAATAAAATTGATAAAATTATGAAATAATTTGATATTGTATCTATAAAAAACCCCCCCAAAATAAACAAAGATAAAGTATAAAAAATAAATAAACACTCATGTAGTACTTTACTACATGTGTTCTGGTCATTAATAGCATTTTAGTGCTACTTGTAATAGAAAAACAAAATATAGATGTATGCTTATCTACTATCGGATGTCTAATGAAAACAAACAATGAGCAACAATCATGTGCTTATACGCCTATTCCTTTCTTTTATTGCATGTATTTACCCATGTAATTAATATAATTTTGTGTTAAATAAGTTAAGTCATTACAGGGAAACAGAGCAGCTCTCAATAACGGAGACTGGTGTCCAATTGTTCAGGGTAAAGAGCTGTTCAAAGAAATCAATTTATTTATGAGCATCACATCACTAAATTCAATTCTTTTTTATAAAGACTTCTTAAAGATATGAGACAGGAAAATAATAATAGATGAAAGGTGCAAACATGACAGTCAGACAGGCAGGCAGGCAGGCCCAGTGTAAATTATAATGTCAAGGTTAAGCCAACCTGCCAAGCGCAACAATACTTTTCTTTCTTTAGCGGACAAAAAAGAACACAAAAGATGATCTGAAAACGCGTAGCCATGTTTTTAATATCAAGATACAATTTAAAAACTAATCTTTTTAAGCCATGTAAGCTCTACGACTAAACCCAGGCTGTACTTACGGAAAACATTCAAATGCTCCTCTGAACGCAAGTAAAAGAAACTGACAAAAGACTTCAATAAGCTTCAGGTGACAAAGTAACATTTCATGAACTAATTCACAACCCATTTTCAGGATCTGATCAACTTTTCTCACCGCAAGAGTCCCAAGGTGTTGTTTAATATTTCTCTCTTCGAGGGACAATCTGAGGGGATATCTAAGTTTTCTTTAATATTTTGTGCTTTTTTACTCTCATCTTCACTGAGAGGAATAAGGATTTGTGTGGCGAGTTTAGGAATCAGATCCTTCAGCTTCTCCTTCAGATGATCTCTGGCTGAAAGATTCCACAGAATACCTGCAGGAAAAAATATAGAAATACTTAATCACCTTTTCATCCAATGAGCTTTGTCCTGCCTCAAACGGTACATTTTAGTTCATCCCTGTCCTTCACGGCTGCTAACGTTTAGATGCTTCATATTCTGCAGTGAAAGCATTCCTCACAAATGCCAGGTATTCTGAACTAGCAATGTAGGGTAAATATTATGCTTTCTGATAAAAATGTTAAAAAGCTTGCTTTTGGTTATAGTTTCACAGTTCTGGTAAACTAGTCAAATATAAGGTGAGCACGTATCACTTTCCCAAAGTTTCAAAGTGAACTGTGGACTTGGGTGTAACTGATAAAAGAAAAAAGCAACAAAGCCGTCATTCATAGAAAGGGAGTCGCCCAGGCCTGTTCATGAGGAACCAGCAGGCCTGGGCGACTCACACATACTCCCCTGTTCTCAAATGCTCAAAGCCCATAGATATGACACCATCTCCACCTTTACCTCCACCTCTCCATGCATTAGACCTGCCAAATGCCCTACACCTTCACACTTTCCTCTCCATATTATTAGTTTCAAAGGCTCAAGCAAAGGATACACAAGACGGGGCTGCATCCTGAAAAATTATTTGCAGCCAATCTCAGATGTGAGTGCATTGTTAATGCACTTGCATCTGTGAAACTAATTACTGCATTTGTTAAACTAAAAAATATTTTTTCTAAAATACGGCTATACTCTTGACATATTCTAACAAAAGAAATAATGTCCATTGTTTACTTCAGGAGCTCACTATTTTGTCACATGCAGAACTTTGTCTTTAAGTCATGATTTTTTTCTGATTGTCAGTAAAATGATGAACGTCTACTCAAAAGCATGTTATCAAACTCTCTGTTGGTGTAGAGCCAAAATGATCATAGTCTTTATTATTTTACCTGTGATGTTTTTGCGAAGCTCATCGTCATCTATGTCAAGGGCTTTATGAATCTCACTGATGCCATTGTGATGCACAAAGTTGTTCTTATTGTCATTATGTTCAAAGATCAAATTGCGCACGGCACCAGAGGAATAACGACGAACTTCAGGATCATTACTGTTGAGCATGTCCACCAGAAACTGAATGGCACCCAATTTGTTCACCTGGAACGAACACAGAGAATGTTTCAGCAATTCAAACAGCTCTATACATCATTTTGTTTTTATTACTATAGATAATTTCAAATTAAGCCCCTTTTCTTCTCTGTTCACAGCATTGCACAATTCAAGCAGTAACATTATTATTATTTTTTTTTTACAAAGAATAGAAAAAAATCTCCCTGCGTTGGTAAGTTTTCCAGTCATGAATCTTTTCCAATGCAAAACCACAATAAGAATGTCCAGAAAACGACGCTATTCTATTCACACAAAGCAACACCTGGGAGGTCTGTAATAAGTTGAAATACAAGCAAATGAATCTATTAAGGTCAAATTAAACTTCTAAATGTGTTAGCCAAATGCCCCAGAAAATGTTCTAAAGGGTCACCAGCTCCAGGGATTTAAAATCTTGGGGTTTTGCATGAAAACCAACATAATTTTAATCCTAATTTGCTGTTGTCACATTTGGACAGGATGGTTTAGAGTTACAGACAAACATCTAAAGCTGACATGCAGATAAATTCCAAATGTTATGGTTTCTGTACTAATTTTTTTTTGCAATAGTCATTTTAACAATTAGCAGGTAAAAGTTATGAAAACATTAACGTTTCTATCTGCAGGGTTTGTTTGAAGTTTGTTTAAAATTTGAAGAAAGCATTTAATTCCTAAAATTTCTTGATAATATTTCCTTGTCACTTTCTGCCTGGATGCTCCTAGTTAGCTCATGTCTCTGTTTGGCTTCAAAAGGTTTAATCAACATTGACAGCGTAGAAGCTGATAAGGTAGAGCAGTGAGGGATATATTGCCACTACTCAGGTATTTCAGCCAGTTCAGAAAATTTAGAAGCAAACGCTATATGGTTCAGGTTAAATTATTTGTTTTATATTCAGTGGGGTTCAGGCTTTTTAAATGCTGATCAACTGCAACACAAAGAATTAGAGGGAACCGGTAGAGCAGTAATGTGGATCTTTACAGCAGTCTCCAATAGAGAAACTATCCATTAGGGGTTGTCATCGCTGCAAGAAAAACTATTTTCATGACCAACTTTCTCAGTCGGAGGAATGCAGAGAAGAAACGCATTCTAAACACAAGTGCTGTATTTGCAAAATACCTCTTCTTTTGCAGACTTGTCATTGTAGCATTTATGCTGAATGTATGCTGAACCCAAGACCTGCATCGACTTTTCGTCTTCCCGCAGGTATGAAACTGCAGTGGGCATATCCATTGAGTTGATGCTGCAAAATGTACAAACAAATGAACTGAAACAGAGAAAATGTCACCCTGTATTCAACTCTTGTTAGAACAAAACAGAGATTTTTGGAAAGGTGATTTGGACAAAAAATTTCAATTGGAAAAATTCCTTTAAAAAATTACACAATGTTCTGCAAATGCACTCGCCCAACCACTCATTACGGGGATGTGTGAAATGCGAAGCCTGAATCTTAACCAAGCAGCCACACCCTAAACCCAAACCCAAACCCAAACCCAAACCCGTCTTGCCACTATGGAGCCGCCTCGCTATCCGCAGCTCTTAGGAAACACACACTCCTGTTAATGTGCTGCATGTTAAAACACCATATTTTTACATCACTCTCAGTAATACAGAAGTGATCATCAAATAAGAGTCAACTGAATGAATGAAAGACCCCACCCTGCCATTTGGTTTCCGCCAGTGTCTTGGCTTCTAAAAAGTTCCTGGGAAAATTTTCATTCTTAAAAATCTCCACATTGAGCTGGTTACATTTATGACTTAGTCAATTGCTAAGAAGTTATTGCAAGATAATTACCAAAAGTATATTGTGCCCGTTTTAATTTGTTTTGCCTGGTGAATGTAAAGACTGAGTTACTTCTTGTTTTGTTTTTTTTAAATTGGAATACTTCTTTTATTTATTTTTTTTTTTTTACACGATTTCTGTTAGTTTTCCTAAACAATTGTGGTCATCTCTGAAATTTTACAGACATGAACTAGTATTTTCAGTACAATTTCAAAGCATGATAGAAACAATTGATATGCACAGAGGTTTTGATAATACAATAATAAATACTTTCCAAGGATTCTTACCTTTGCAGGTGGGGCAGCTCTTCAAAATCTGCCTGGCCATAGATATCCATGCCCCCGCCCACGCTATGAACACTTCTCATAGACGTGGATCGGCTCATGCCACCGAGGCGTTGCTGCGCGAGGTTCCGTTGAGAACCAGCTTTCACGGACATTAAAAACCCACCATCCATTCTGTCTCCTCCTGCTCCAATGTTGCCGGCACTTGCGGTCATCCGGCTACCAGACAGGGAGCCCACACTCATCCGGTTACGGTTTGTAATCCTGCTGATAGTGCGGTGGGCTGGGCCTCTAAAGGACTGCTGTTGGATAATTTCCGACCCTCCTCCTCCCAGACCTCCCCCACGGGATAGAGTGCCACTTAAACTTTGACGCCCGAAGGACATTGCAGGCTCCTGGGTCTGAAACCCTGTCTGTTGAGTAATGATGCCTCCTCCTTGTCTTATTTGGGTGCTGTAGCCGTTCTGGGAATACTGATGGTCAAAGGTGCCATCTCGCTCGGAGATCAGGCTTCCAGCATCGCTGTTGTCCATCATCCACGGATTGGCTGTCTGCATGTTTCGCATTGAATGCACAGACATGTCATCTCGATCCATTTGGTTCTGTCTGATGGACCCTTGGACACCACCCCTGTACATTTCTTCTCGGTAAAAACCTCCACCTCCACCTCCACCCACACTCATTCGCTGAAACTGGGTAAAGTCTGGGGCTGCAGATCGGCTGCTGAATTCCGCCCTGGTGGTCACACGAGGACCCTGAACATAAGGAAAAGAGAGAATGTTACCAGAGTTTGATATGCTTACAGAGTTAATTTATAGTTTCTGATGGTTTGTGTGCATGAGTTAATTGGTTCTGAGTAATTTTTTTTCAATGAAATGGTTTCTAAACTTGACTTCAGAAATGTATTTCAACTGGACACAACATTCCTGCCCTCTGAGCTTGTCGTTTTCAATTTCAGATCTCATTCAGATGTTTAAAATGCCACATCAGGTCTGTCACACTCACAGCTCTAACATCAGTGACAGATCATCAGTGTTTCACTATTAGAGCACCAAAACAGAAGAATTTAGAGGGCAGACTTGAAAACTCAGAGGTAATCTGATCACAGTTCACTGTGAAATATCACACATGCTGAATCCTTCTTGACCCAGCATACCTACAAGTTTATTTCTCTCATAGGTCCAGTTTGATGGTCCTTTTGACGATCCTCCAAACATTTCAATGCAATGTGTGTTGATCATTTTGTGAAAATGCTGCTGTACTCACCAGGGTTTTTGAGTACATGGAGGAAGTCTTAGGACTGTAACTTGGGCTATAGTGGCTGTATTTCATTGTTGAAGAACCGCCATAGTCTAAAAAAAAAATTAAGAAAAAGATTTTAGGAATGATGTCAACAAATACATTATGATTCTATCTTTTAAGATATTTAAAACAGCACTTTTTGTGCTCAAGGGATTGAAGTGGACATATTTTCCAAAACAAATTGTGGAAAATACATGTTCTACTTCTGCAAACATATAAAATCATAATACAACAACATTAACCAGCAGCAATCTACATGAAGATATCACAGTTTAAATGGCATGTATCGTGTTGCACGGATGTCTGACTGCACACAGACTTTGCAGGACCTGCCCGAGTTTAACATCTCCAATTACTCCTGACTTTCGGAACAATCCTCCATCTGATGCACAAATACCACAGCATGTTTGAGTGCACAGACTGTGATTGAATGTTTAACTCCTGTTTCAACATTAGACTGTAAAAAATAGTAGGTGTGTTGCAAAATATTCCCACAGAAAGAGGCTAAAATAAAAGTTAATGTAGCTAAAGAAATAACTGATTATCTAAAAACATTGTGTCACTTTCAGAGGCCTGTTTTTAGCATTTGTTTACTCTGGCTAAAATAAATAAATAAAATGAAAAGGTTGGTGTCACTTTTGGTCAAACGCCAGAGTCAATTTTGCACCTTTTCAATTATTTTGGTGAGAATAATGCTAAACTAAGAGTGAAGGGAGGGACAATTCAGGACACACATCTGTAATTTCTCCCAGAAGGGATATTAAATGTCTGTATCATGTTCACTGGACCTTTTTCACACAGGTTCTCAGGTCTATCACAAAGACATAAAGAAACCTAAAGGCCTTTAGAGAGGAACAGTAATCGGCGTCCATGAGATTTAGGGGAACATGAATATTAACAGACATTTGAGATGGTTGGTAGTTTTCAAAAATATTTCCGTCTAGCCCTCCAAGAAAATCTGTTTTATGATGCATTAAATGATTGTAATACTACTCATTTGCTTCACTAAGACCTCAAAATATGCACATGTAATCTGTGCAAAATGTCTTTTTTTTGGTTATTTGTATTGTTTCTTACCTTACTGAAACACCTCTAAAAAAACTCCATCATTGTTTTAACCATGTTACTTTAAGAGCAAAATGTAATTTTGCTGCAGATGAAAGGTATACTTTTTGGGGGGAATTAGCTCTAAAGAGTCTCTCAGAGTGAAAGCTGTCAGGAAAATTTGAAATACTTGTGTCACTAAAATAATTTATTTCTTGACAAATTGTATGTTTATTTCTAACAATTAGGATAAGGTAATCCAAGCGGTTTGGTTCACGTTTTGAGTTTTGTATGAAATGAATATATTTTAGTTTGTCTCTATTTCTTGTTATCACAAGATTTGCATGCATGTGAAAGGCTTGAATAAACAGAACGAACTGAAGCCTGGAAGTGAGCTACGCGTAGCAGCCTCGTGTCTCCTGTCTCTGCCGTTGAGATATTTGGGATTATGTTTGTAATATTTTGCAAATTTATCAGTCATGGTGTTTTAATTTGGACGATGAAGAATTAATCTGTCAAAGACCTCCGAAGTGGCAGGTAACTTTTGTTAAAGCGCATGTTACCTATCAGTCAGGAAATACATCTTTGTGTTTCATTTTTATAGTTTTCACTGCATTTAATAAAGGAAGCCATGCCAGTGATGTCACTTCGGAGTTACAATACTCATTTTCTGAAATGCAATGTGCTAAATGCAAGTACTGCCAAGTTGCACTCACAACAATGGCTTTTGATTGTGGAAGTTGTTACTAAAGGAAGAACATTTAAAGTTCAGTGAGGTGTTTAAAATGGCGTCAGAATAAACTGAAATGTTTAAAAAAAGTTAACTGTATTTTGGTAAAATGTAAGACTACATGTTAAGATATTGAGAGGGTGACTTAAAGCAGAGAGTACATTACATTTGCTTTGTTTTATTTCCTTGTAGCTCTCAGTCTCTGCTTGTCATGGAACATGATTTATTTGGAAATGTTGGCAGGATTTTGGAAATCTCAGAGTTAAGATAAAAATCTACTTTTTCTAGAAGGCACATATGCCCCGGTTCTATCAAAACTAGCCTTAATAATGATTCTATTTGCTAACGTAATATACTAAAATCGGTTTTAGTAATTGTAATTAAAAACATTGAATATTTGAACAGTTCTCAAAAGGGGCAACATCATGCATTTTCCAGGTAATTTTATAACACAATAAAGTAACTATGTTAACTTCAGTTGTTATAAAAATGTTATATTTACTAAATATGAAATTTAACACCTGGAAATTAGGCCTGTGCTTTTTTCAAAACTCTTTCTTTTTCTGAAACTCTACCTACAGGAATTCACAACATCAGTCCTCTATTAACCCTTTAACAACATTTTTACCAGCATTGCACTGAGAAGTGGCTCGCACAATGAGATCAGCAGATGCACAATTCCACCACAAGTTTGCTAATTACTGCTGGCTAGTCTATAGGAACTGAGTGTGGGAGTTGCAGTGTTGGAAGCTCGGACATTTGGAAACTGCCTCTGTCTGTCTTAACATTTTAACATGATGCAAAGCTGAAAAAAGTCGATTTAACATAATACTGCTCCTGTGAAAAATGTGAATTGATTTAACCAAAATTGGCTTAAAAGCAAACAGAAAGTCAAACAAAATGCAGATTGGTGCAACAATAACTCTTAACTTTTAAACCAGTTTGTTCATTAAGTTGCACCTATCCTAAATAAAACAACACTTGTGTTGTTACTGTACCAGGCCTGCATGCTCAGTTTATGTCTGAGAAGCTGTTGTTTTCCCACTTCTCATGTGCCTTAATGAGAGTCTCCAACATGGCCCCAGGCACATTGCTTCAAGAAACCAGTTGCTGTAGAGAGATGACTGACATGTTCTCTGACGTGACCCGAGCCCAACCCTAACAACGCCCAGCACACCTGATAGCGTCAGCATTTTACAGGCCCACTAAAACACACCCTGAATCACCTTCAGTGTCTACTCTTTTTCTTTATGTCGCTTGCTAGATTCTGAATTCAACAGTGTTGAGACATCAGCTGCGACTGCTTTAAGGCACAGAAAGGGAGGTATTCCTTCCAGATTGCTCTGTGTGTTTTTGTTTTTTCCCATCTGCAAACACTTATGCATTCATTATCAAGTTCTCTAAAGCCACAAACCACTGAAATGACACTGTTCTGCTCGGTGAGGTTTCAGCCGGCAGCTGATAAAATGTTACATTGTGTAACTGCATGTTTGCCTCCAGGCAAAAGTCAGGGATGATTTACACTGACTATCGTTAAGAGGTATATTTTAGCTAAGAAAAACAGAGTACCACAATATTTTGGGAGTCGTGTCATATCCCTGTTTCAGCTCAGTTGTTAAGAAATAGCAGAAGCAGCATATTCGCCTGTTGAGGCAGGTACAGCTGACGCCGCTGGGAAAAGCTTAAACCAGTAGAGTGAGTGAAAGCCTCCGTTTCTGGATCCAAATAGCCTGGAGTTTGGAGGTCACATTGACGCAAACCTAATGTCAAGGTGTTCTGCTTGTTTTCTGCTTGTTGGCTGGGAACAGTGACGCACAAGACGCAAAGGAATGTCTTGAAGCAAGAGGCAGGAACAGGCAGGTATCCAGGTCCAGATGGCAGACAATCCTACTTCCTGACACACTTTCAGTTCAATAAAGGCATTACATTAACAAATGTGGTGCAACCACCAACTACGGTAGCTCTAAGCATTCAGGAAACAACTACTTGGAAACCAATCCCACACTAGCATAGAACATTTTGCAATAAAACTTAGACAGACAACTTTTAACCGAGTCATATATTTTGACAATGTACGTTTCTAACAACAACCCTCATCTCTGGAAGTCAACTGAAAGCTGATGCCCTTTCTCACATTCACACTGCTATCAGGAAAGTTTATGAAAGCAGTTCTTGTTGAGCCCTGTTACACATTAACCACTTGTACAAGTGCAGAAACAGGACACTGTAAAACTGCTGCTGCTTCAAGACAAATTAAGAAATTCCCCCAAAGGACTGATGCAAAGCAAACTTGAATCAAACAGAAACAGCTATGCTGAAGAACAAAACAAACAATCAAAACTCCTCCCACACAAAGCAGGCATCCATTTTCAAGCCGTCTTTGCCCATTGAATAATACAATGAGCTTTCCTGAATTAAAAGGGAAAGGAATAAGTTTTCTATTCTAAATCTGTGAGTAACCAGATATGAAAAAGTCCCTGCAGCCTCTGAAACAGTATAATTTGGTTTTATTATTGACAAGAGCAGAATATCTTCTTAAACATAAAATATGCAGAGTTTTAAAACTGCCAAAGATTAGAAAGAAATCACATAAGTCATCTGTAATGCAACATTGACAACTGGAAAAACAAACAGACCTTTCCTGGCACAGCAGACACTCTCTCACTCACTCTTTTGCAATATTTACTGACTTCAGTCATTTTTAAGTGTATTTATGAATCACTAGTGATTTATCAGATTTAAATCCATGACAACCAAAAAATTATTGCTACTTCAATAACTGCAGGTTGAAAGGTTTAAAGTCAAATCCACAAATCAAAAACAAACACATAGCTGCTTCTTTAATGTGTTAAATTCCTTTGTAACAATCAAAGAGTAATTTGGTTTCGCAGAAAATTACCAGACTGACGTAAATAGCCAAAATAACAAAATGCATCTAAAAACATTTAAATATTGTCTCTCAATGGTGACTTTCTCTACATCTAATCCCATGACTCAGTATCATTTTAAAATGACATTTAAATAACTTTTAAATGAATACATGCATGTTGAGAGGGTCAAATTAGTGAACCAATGCATTTCATCTTGACCTCATTGGAAGACCCTCAAAGTCGATTCTTAACACTACACGTCTTACTGAAGTCTTTCCCTCGCCTCATTTTTGACCCTCCTTGCATTTCGGGAGTCGGTGAAGTTGCGTCAGTCGTTCTGGATTTCCTGTAATGTACAAACATTTGCTTGTACATGTCTGACACATCATGCAACTAAGGACAACATATTTTTGGAATGTGTCAGATGCATCATTAGCAAAAGGCGCTTTTTGATTTATGGTAGGAATTTTGATCCCCACTCAGTCGGCTGTCTGGTACTTTTGGCTGTTAGATTTTATACACAAAACTGTACCTCACAAATCTATACAAAGGGATATTTTATGGTAATTAGAGAATATCAGAGTATACACATCAATAAAATAAGTTTATTTAACTATGCTAATCATGTTGTCATGTTTTTGTGCCTTGTATATCAGCACGAAGAGGTAAATCTCACTGAAGACACTGAACACATTTAATAATTAAGAATGTGAATAATTCTTAATTAATCTTTGATATTATAATATCTAGTAGCAAGGCAATTTTCTTTGCATAGCTAAATAATACAGGCATAAAACTAGAGATGCACCAATATTAATATCTGTTCCGATCTCGATATTGAAAAAGTTCTAGATTGGGTATCGGTGACAATGTGCCAGATATATAAGGGCAGATCTATTCTGTCTAATTCTATGCTCCATGCTTTGAGCTTATATTTATTTTATAGTATATTTAGAAGTTGTTGAGCCCTTCTAAATATACTTTTGCACTTTCAGATTGCACTTTTTGAACCATTTGAAAGTTTTGCTGCAGTTTATTTCTACATGTTTGACCAAAGGAGTCAATCTATTGTTTTGTCTGTTTCTTTATTATTTACTTTACACTATCTGTTATACTCCTAGTTACACTGACTGAGCAAATTAAAGTTGTGCTGTTTTTTTTGTTTTTTTTAAATTTTATGTTTGACCAATCTTGGTAGGCTGTTTGTGTATTTAAGTGTGCTTCACTGGTGCAGAGTTATCAAATACATTTTTAATTCCACACATTTATGTCTCTGTTCAAAAAGTTAATTCAGTACTTTTTTTTCAGCCTCGGTGAAAATTGTGGATGGGTGCGTCCCAAAGAAAAACATGACAAGAGCAACGAAAAAGAGAAGAACGAGTTTCACTTAATGATCTTCCAGTTAGTATTAATTGAAAATATTTCTAATTTAAGTATCTAATTAACTTCTTTGAGGTCTGAGGCGAAACATGTTTGGGAAATTATAACTGCAACCCCAAATTTCAAAGAAGTTGAATAGGAAGCTTAGAGGATCGCATCCCCAGCTGCAATGTCTCTCTGCCCCACTTTCTAACCAGACGGCCAGACAGAGCTTTAAAGAGGAGGGGCAAAGGCAAATGAGGTGGATTAGCAGTGTTTGCCAAAACCTGATGGTGTCGTTCAGGTCATGCTGTGAAAAAATGTAACTATTAGAATGTCATAACAGTCAAGAGGCTGTCAAACAGTCAGCATTTTCAGATTCATCTGCTATGGGAGACCCTTCCTGCCTGCAGCATCATCATCCTTAACGACTCTGAAATTTACTTGAATGATATGAGTTACAACCAAATTTAAATTCCCTTTGGGATAAATAAAACAGTTTTGAACTGAAATACATTAACATGTGAAAGTTGAACAAGGTCTTTCTTTAAAACCCAATGTGGCTGACACACAAAGCTTCAGTGAAAGCTGCATTTAACTATTTGTTTGCCTCATTAAAACCAGTGACACCAAACATCATGTACAATCTCCATTTCCTTTAGTGTTTGTTTGTGTGAAAAGTACATTAATGGCTTGTCTTTCTGATAGTAGCTAGTGACCACAACAGTTATCCAATCCCACTCATAACTAGCAAACACTCAACTCAAGTCTGACATCATTCCCAGAATTAAGACCTGAGTTTTGGTACTAAAAAGCTGCACAACAGTGATTGACTGCACAACAGTGGGTGGAGTAACTAGAATGTTGTGGGTTCAATTATGGAATGACAGCGCTGTGCTTCTGCATACTTAACTCCTTACAATCCCATCGAATCAACTTGTATTTATTTTTGGCAGTTTTGATCTTCCATAGAAACTTGTGGCTATTTATTAAAATTTATTGCAATGTATATATTGCTGTGAACATTTTAGTTTGATGTGATCTAATGACCTCGCCTAGAGTCTCTTGAATAAACGCTGTCAGTGTGATGGGAGGCAGAGATGTTTCACCTAAACAAAGCAAACCATTGTCCAGCTCTTGCTATAACAACTTTTATGACTTACACATAGATATGTAGTTTATGTCTTCTATTTGTCCTTGTCTTGTGTCTTATGGGAGCTCAAAGTTCAACGACACAGACAGATAAGTATTGGTCATAAATTCAGTCTGTGGTCAGATAACGATTCCAACACTTGGATGTTATATTTTCAGAACACCTGCCAGTTCTGAAAATATAACACCCAGCTCTGTTTTGCTTATTTCTTTGTGAGTGGTACTTCCTCTTGAGCTTATTGATGTTTTTACCTGACATTGCGTATTGCGAGGCCTTTCCATTCTGACGCGGAAGTGTCCCCTTTTCAGCGAGTTTCAGCTTGATCTGCTCCTGGACCCGCCGCGCGCGCACGGCGTCGTCCGACATGGCGCTCCCATTCCCGAGTTGGTTGTCCGACGGGAGAGCATAGGTGGTGGACAAGGTGTGCGGCTGTAACGAGGAAAGAAAAGCGTTCTCCGATGTCATCGTGCTCATGGCGGCAGAGTCGAGAGACAGAGAGAGAGAGTCCAGAACGAAAAGGCGCGCCCGTGACGTTCCCTGCTGAGGACAAACTCTGTCCGCTCGGTCCAACTGCGCTTGTGGAGGCAGACGGACTCAAAGTCCCGCTTAGCTGCGGGGGGCGGAGCCAGGCAGAAACCAGACACCTGACTCACAGGTGAGCTCTGGATCGCGTCTAGATAAGCAGCTGACTCAAACCCCCTGACAAAACACTCCTCAGACAAAAATGCTTAACCTCTTGTTTTTTTTTTAATTATTTTCTCTTCGTTTTTCTACAGCGTGCTTTTTGCTTTAACCGAAATAAAACATTATGACGTATCACTACTCTCACTTCAGTGAACTTTCTGCACACTCCACTCACTGCGAGTAACTATTTTAATGAAAAAGGCCTGAGAGAAACACACGAACATTTTCATACACAAGATTTCCATTTTAATGTTATTTAACCCAGTAGTAGATATTACTAAATATTGTCACTGCAACATATACATTATCTACTGTAAGTTTTAGTTTTATTGGTATTCTAATGAAAATATGCTTAAAAAGTTTTTGTTCTTTCTTAATTTGCATTTGCATTTTGGTGCTTAAAATACCATAATTCGCCCATATATTTAATTTTTGAGATAAATCAGAAGTTATGACCAGTTTCTCTGCTTCAGTAGGATTTTCATCAAGTACTACCTGTTACTTTTACTTAAGTAACAGTATGTTGAAGTAATCCTACCCTTTCTTGAGTACATTTTTAGATTACATTGTTTCTAATATTTTTAAAAATATATCTCAAGAAACTAGCTTCTTGAAAATAACTTTAAATTTAAATCTGCCAGGAATATTACTTTTTTTAGTTTTTATTATAACTGTCACTCAACATTTGAGAACGTTCTGACAGGAAAACCTGCATAAAGACTCCGAAAGTTGTAAAACGATGGTCGTGTTAAGTGAAGTTTATTTGCACATTTCAGCAACAACGCAGTTCAAAGTGCTTGTAAAAAAAAAGAAAACAGTAACCAATTACTTAACAAGCAGTAACCATTACAAACATATGTTATGAACTGGAATATAGTAACAGGTTCCAGTTATTGTGATCGAAGGAAACTAACAAAAGGCAAATATAAGTATCATAATAAGCCACAGCAGAATGTCAGCAGCTTTATTATTCTATTAATTTATGTAATAAAAATTGTTTGCTTAAAACAGTTTACATTGATTAGACAAATTTTTTTACTAATAAGTTATTACTTGTGTATTTTTTTTGTTTTTACAGTGTGACATGTTTGAATCTCATAAGCAAGAATCTATAAAAAACAAACCTTAATTTTCTAATCACGGTACTAAATGAGTGACTTTATTCCAATAAACCAGAATCCAAACAGTTATATACTGATTAGGATTTATGGATTTTCATTGTTAAGCAGCATATAAAGAATAATATCATGTCTGATATTTATTTCTAGCTTTGAGGAAACTTTCCCATCTTTGACATTTTGCTTAAGTGAACATCAAATTATCTACCTCACAGCACTTTGATGTGTTTTAGTTATTTATTTTTAGACCTGCCAATTTATGCTAACAATAAGGCTAAGAGCAAGAACAACAGACAACACATTTTACTTTAAAACTGTTTGATGTTTTTTATGAGATTCTTCCTCCTGGCTAAAAACTTCAAAGTGTAGATTAACGTCATGGTTCACATCCTTCTGCAGGAAACTGACTTGTAACAAGGCAGAAATCAAGCTACTTAATAATATTAAGAACGATTAAAGACAAGTTTAAACTTGTGTGATGTGAGCTGAAAGAGCTTTCTCTAAAAACCTTACACAGGTAAACAAAGACAAAGGAGTGTCAAAGAAGCCAATGCTTTTGATTAAAGATGAGTAATATCACAAGCTACTCGACATAATGGCAGGAAAGACATTTTGTCAGAAAGCATTTCTTGCTCTCAAGGGAGAGTGAAAAAGGAGCGTTTTCCTCTTCTCCAGCTATTAAAGATTTTGTATTTAGTAATTGCAAAATGTAATTGGGGCTTTAATTCAAAGTTAACAAAAATGTATTATGTTTTCTATTGCAAATATACGCAGTAAAGAGAGAAACTGATTCACCAATTGGTATTATAAACTGAATTTGACAGCTTATTAAAACTTGGATCAGTATTAAATTTAAATCTGTCTGTATAATTTGATCTTATGATGTTTTTTTTTTTGTTTTTTTTTGTCTGGAGATCTGCCCTGTTTGTCCAGCAACTGGACTTCAGACGGCTAGATAATTTTATAGATTTTGATTCAAATTTTTTTTCCATATTTCTTTGTGTTTTTTTTGTTGTTGTTTTTTTTTTTATCTCTGCAGTGATTTCATTTTAACAACTTAAAAATTAATCTTCTCTCATCCTAAAAGCAGTAAAATTAAACAATATGTGCTCTCAGTGAAAGTTTCGGTCTGTCGTATTTGATCCATTCAGTTCAATTGTATGTAGTTTATTTACATTGCATCAGCTCACCACAATGGTCCTCTCAGCCACTTTACAAGATAAACAGGTCTGATTCACTTCCACTAGGGTCAAGGTTTACACCTCACAGCATAAAGAGAACTATCCATTCAAGAGTTAAATCCAAACTGGTGCTAACTGTGAAGAACAGACGCCGTGTTAACAGCGACGGGATATAAGCTGATCTGCTCCACGTTTTTTATTCGCTTTTTCTCCCGAATTATAGATTTTCAATGTTTCATTAACATATTGCAAGTTTGTTTTGTGCTGCAGTAATAAAATTTTACCTGAAAACAAAGTTTAGTATAACAATTTTTTTCTTTTCATTTTCTTTTCTTTTTTTCTTTTCCTCCCCCACTTGTCAATCCTCAGGTTTTGCTGAAAGGCTGTTACAAGGTGTGGCACTGTAGTACTCTGTCATTAAGCCCAAGCCGCACCTGGGATTTATTTGTTTTCTTTAATTTGAACATAGCAACAGGAGCGATTATCAAGATGTTGTTCTGCTTTCAGTTGTTTTTTCAAAGCAGATCTATGTCGGATCTGAGTGAGCTAATTTTCTCTCTGTCCTTCTCAAACAACATCATATCGATTTTCCGATATTTATGTGAAATTTATTCATTAAATAAATTTCACATATTTAATGAATATGTGAAATAAATATTCTCACTATAAATGCTGTGGTATCCTTTACTAATAAATGGAAAATTATTATGAAAATGCTCACATGTCCTCATGACTCCTGAAAACATCAACCAATGCACAATAAATTCACATAATGTAGTTCACCCAATAAAATAAATATTCTAATTCGTTGAACAAAACTATATGTGCACAAACAATTTGCAAAACGCAGATTAAGACTCAACAATAACAACCAAATGCAAAAAAACTGCAAGGAGGGAAAAAATTGTTAGCTTCAAAGGCTTCTGTAAAAGTTTAGACTTACCATGACCTGTGAATGAGACGTTCTCCTCTGACTTTCACCTGGACTGATCTGATTTTGTGGTTATCAGAGTATTAAAAGTAACAGAAAGTAAGTTAACGCCCTCATTTTAATTAACCATCTTATGCAGAAGCACAAAAAGATGAGTCACAGACAGGTGAGACACCAAGGGGTGTGTTGAAAAAGAAGAAGAGCGAGCCACGCCGTCTGAGCGGCGACGGTGTTGAGCAGAGAAACGTGAAGAGATAACGTTTGTTCACATAACATCAATCTCTTTCAGACAGAAATATGAAACCTTCTCCGAACAGAACGTATCAGTTGTTTTGTTTTGTTTGGTAGGGAAGCAGATTTTTCATGATTACTTATTTCCACTATGGTGGTGATTCAGTCAGGGCGGTAAATACTCTGAGCAGAAGTTCACTGAATATCAAACCGTGACGATTTGTGAATAGAATAGGAATGTGACTCAGACCAGTTGCATTTGTCAGAATAACGGCATGAGAAAATCATCTTCTGCTTGCTATGTAAAGTATCAGCAGCTTTCCTTTCACATAAAACTAAGCTGAAGTTTTCAGAGAGCTGCAAAACCAGACAGAAGCGATTACCCTTAAAGCATCATTTATCTGGGGGTATCTGCCATAAAGGCTTACATTTGATGACCCAACCTTGAAGTGAAGATTCCCAAAATGCATCACATTCAGTTGTAGACTTTAGAGACCATTTAGGCAGTTCCACACTCAGCTTTGCACACAATCACAATCAGTTTTCATGCAAGTACTCATAATTTTACTACAGGGCCCAAGATCAAACTGCAGCGCTGCAGCCAGGAGTCCTTACTCAGAGCACCTGGTCTGATCAGACGTTCTGTAATTCAAGAACCGACATGAATGGTTCGTCAGCAGATGGCAAGATTACACACCTAATACAATAAGTGCAGAACACAGAAGTAAGAGTAAGCTGTCTATTGTGAACCTATCAGCTACTTTTTGACTAATTGGAACTTAAGCTGATAGAATAACAAAGAAGCCTTTTTTTTATTTGCTCTGATGTTTTTTTTTCCTCCCTCGTGTTTTTTTTTTAAATCCTACGTTAAAAAACGTGACAAACCTTCGCTTTGTAATACATGAGACTGTCATTAAATGAATAGACCATCTACAATGTCTGACAAACACATTCATGTTGCTGGAGCTTTTCATAGTTTGTCATGTTTTCAAACACAGACTTCAAGATTTTTTTTTTGCTGGGAAAAAAGAAATGTGTTTTTTTTTTAAACATATTTTACAGATCAACAGCTGAAAAGTGTGGCATGTTCCCTCTCAGTCAGTTAGAAATCTTTATACATTCTTCTTTGCAAAATAGCTCAAGCTCACACAGACTAGGCTGGAGAGAACTGCAGCTCTGAACTTTCACTACACCATTTATACATGTCTGAACCATTTCAGCGTAGATGTGACTGAACGTTTCGAGTCATTTTTAAAACTTTTATAACCACTAACGGGTTTTCTTCTAGCATTGCTCTGTATTCAGCATACAGGGAAAGCAGTAACAATGGGGTCAGCCAAGCGTTTGATTGTTGCCCTTTTTGATTTCAGAAGCTTTTACAAAATATCTGTGTTTATAATGAGATTAAATGACATACAGGTGGACTCTGGTTAGTCATGATGTAACTACTTGATGCAATTACTACTGGATTTTATTTGAGGATATCAGAGTAAATGGGTGTGTTTACAAATACAAAGATTTTTTTTCCCACAAAACATTTGTAAACCATATTTCACTTTTCTATCACTTCAGTCTTTTCTCTATTTTGTGTTGTTTCAGACCAAAGAGTATTCAACGGATACAAAATTACTTTTGAAAAATAATGCTATTTTTAAAAAAAAAATTATTTACAGTGATTTCACCTGCTCTGCAATAAACCAAACACATAATATTTAGTAAAGCAGACAGATTTTTAAAAAAGATTTCACAATATTTAGTGTTGTTTTCTATTTTCTTGGCCCAGAAGATATTTTAAATTTATTCTGAGCACTAAAAATAGGTTATGGGTTTATTTAGACAGGTTGAATAAACAACCTGCTTCTGAGTGGAAGTTGCTGGACGTTTCTGCTCCTTAAGATAAACATAAGAAGTAAGAACTAATACTTTGTGGTGTAATATTTAAGGAAGATTTTCATTTGTCAGTGAAAATCTTGACTTACAAATAAAAATAATAAAAAAAGAGTTTGTCTCCATTCACAAAACGTGAAAAGGCTTACAAATCTTCTGTACATCTCCTACGCTAAAAATCTGAACTACTTGAACTTTGAACTTCTGAAATAGAGGTCCAGTTTAAAAAATAAAACAATCTGTGTTGATCTAATAAATTAATATTATTTTTTTTTTCTTAGAATATAAAAATCACATTTCTGATTCAATCCTGTTTTCTTCGTCACTTGCTAGTAGCACAATATAAGCCCATGTGAGTAATTAATGCTTTTAACGCCCATATCATCATTTGGGTGGAATCAATCCACCCAAAACAGAGGATTTCACAACTTTGCACACTAAAATCTGGAACCTGCCAGTCGCTGCTCTTATTCAGACGGTAGAAAGTTCGTTTCATGAGTCATAAGTGCTGACTGGATGAGGCTTGTTTTAAAACCACACGGCGTCATTGTCCTCCAGAAACAGGAAAGGCGGCTTTGGCAGACACTTGCCCTCGTGTCGACGATCATAACACCGTGTTGTCTAAATATCACCGTGTACCTTAACTTTAAGACATCTTTAATCTGGAGCCAACACACAAAGTTCCAATTGACAACAGTAGAGATGTCAGAAGATTCTTAAACTAGAAACAAAGTGTGTTCAGTCAAAAGAAACCATATTCAAGAGATTCTTTCTGAGCGTGAAAGAGCTTGGGGCCTATCTTTGTCACAGCTGAGATCAAAGCTGAGAAAGTGAACCTGTTGGCAGAACAAACTTGTGCTTTGGGTGTGGCCGCTGTGTCTGTGCCAGAGGTACGAGTCAGTTTAGTTTTTCATGGAAATAAGTTGCTGCAAAAGGGAAAGAAGCTGCAGAGCGAACATGCGTTCGTTTGATTGCACCCCCTCGTGGCGAAATGCAGCAAATGCAGCATTAGAGGGTTTAAAACCATAAAGTTTCTGCTAAATTTCTGCTAAGTCTTAGAAAATGCTTTAGTACACAGAAGTATAATTCAGAAGTAATATGGATAATTAAATAACACAGGACATGTCGCCATGTTGCAGCTCGAACATCTTTAAAATGATGTTCTGAAGAAGAAGTTTGACTATTTAGCATTCACAATTTTCAGATATTTTGGACGGATTTGTGAATGAAACCTTTTGACCTGATTAAATATGAACCATCTTGCCAAAATCAGTGACACGGCCTGCTGTGTAAAGTCTTAGCAGGGTATTGAGAAAACGAGTTCAAATGGAGCATTGTTCTGCATCAAACTCTATATACAATCTTTTTTTACAGCTCAAATTAATACATGTTGGCTGGATAATAAGACAAACAAAAATTCCCAAATAAAGTCAAGCTCCTTCAGAGAAAAAAAAAAAGAAAAATCACAGTTAAACACTTATATATGACAGTTGGTTTAATTTATTAGGATTCTTAAAAAAAGCAGAAAATTTAAAAGTTTTGCCTCTATTTGTTCTGGGAAGATTCACAAGTTACCAAATGTGAGAGCATGATTTTTTTCTTTAGGTTAGAAGACACACACGGTCCAGTAAAAACCTCCTTACTGATCCCAGAAACACTGCAGAATAAATAACAGTCACCCTGCAGCGAGATACAACACAAACAACTACCCAGTTAGCACACACACACACACACACACACACACACACACACACACACACACACACACACACACACACACACACACACGCACACGCACACGCACGCACGCACGCACGCACGCACGCACACACACGCACACACACACACAAACACACACACACACACACACACGAGCGCACGCATACACATGCATTCTCCTTTCTAATAAACAATACGTTTATATACATATTACACACCCAGAAACCCTGCTAGAGAAACATTTTCCAACAGACTGAAGGGATAAAAGAAAACAATAACAGGTCAGTTACTGTCAAAATGAAAGTAATGACAGATGAGTAATATATAAATGATCTAATCTATAGTAAATAGGATAATATACATGTTGTGCTTTCAGTAGCACAGAAACAGATCCCTCTGGTATCAGCTGCTGTGGTTTTCTGCTGGCCTTTAAACGCTTAGTAAACTCCTGGGCTGTTGCGAATCCCACAGCAGAGCACCATGGTGAAGATCATCTCAAAGATCTAAATGCAGAAAATGATATAATTTAATTCAATATGTCTGTTTCTTAGAGTCTGCGATGCTATCAGAGCTGACAACAGGCAGTATTTCTTAATAACGGAATCGAGATCTGTGCATTTTCAACCCGTCGCTCACCATGATGACGGCAACCACCAAGGCGGCCAGGCCGATGAGGTGGAGCTTCTCGGAGAACAGAGTGACGAGTTCACTGTGGCAGCTCTGAGAAGAGACAAAGAAAGGCTGGATCAGGATGCTGCAATCAATTAAAAGGTTTGTTCTGCTCTCAGTGCACCAAGTCTGTCATAATTCACATGTAACTGAACCAAGTCAGCTGTCAAAACAAGGTGCTGTATATTTGCTGGGCATATAAGCCTGTTCACATAAAATATCAAATCACAATGTAAACACTGACAGTGAGCAGGTGTACCTGCTGCTGTTATTTATCAAAGAGGTTTGGGTAATGTCAAAGACTCAGCTTCACTCCTGTAAACCTAATAACTCTTTAATATGCATGACTAAATCAACACAATCTGATTAAACACATCGGGAACATTTTCAGGGCAGCAGATTGAAGCTCAAATATATATCAGTAAATGTTGATTATCAGCCATAACACCAAGATGAATATCGGAAGGCCCAAAGTTTCATATTGGTTGATGGATTTGTGCTAAATTGATGTGGCAATGTATAAAATGATGGAGTGAGTGTTAAAGATATGGCAACATTATAGATGCTTATTAAGAAAGCACATCTGTTCTCCTCGGTCACTTTCTCCCCACTTATTTGTTCTGTCAGTCGAAGGAAAGGTTCATTTTTAGTCAATCAACATCCAATCTAATTTCCTATCAAAGTTCTCCTTTCAGTTAGATTTTTTCTTGCTTTTTCTCTTACTTGTCATTTAAAGAATAACGTAGATATATTGATTTAATGAGTTCAACAAAATTGTACAAATATCAATGCTGCAGTTAATGATCCACCCTTTTATGAGGAATTATCAATTTTCAATATGTCTGTTTCTTCTGCTGGAAATCTGGTTGAGCATCATAAACCTGAACTGATTTCTGCTCAGACACCGAAAAAGCAAAAAAACCAAAAAACCTTTTCTCCATATAAAACCATTTTTGTCCTAGGAATATGAAATGTGTCTTAAATTAAAGTTTATCAAGCAAGACAATGAATTGTTGTTTACTTTTTTATGTGTAATTTGTCAGAATTAAGCTTCGATGAGTAAATTAAAAATGTCCTTCTTCCTGATTAGCCTTGATTCTTATCTGTAGCAGCAAGTATTTTCTTTCCATAGTGATCAAGCTAAACAAAAGACAAACTGTTTGGGTTTTTCTTGTCTCTGCAGAAATCACCTTTTGGCGACAAGTGACATTTTGTAATTAAACCAGTGTTTGATGGGTGAATGGAATAATTAGGTCATTAGCAAGACTCTGGAGAACTTATCTACACAAGGAGAAGGTAATTAAGCCATTTGATTTTGGTGTTTTGTACCTGTGGCACGTTTAAAAACTGCAAGTTTGACAGACAATTAAATGCTTACCAGTAAAAAAACAGCCTGATTATGTGAAATTGGTTTCTGAAAACATAGATTGTTTTAGCTGCTTTCACTGCACAGCATGTTCGTTGAAGTTTTCTGATAGAGCTGTTGTTGGAAATGGACATTATACACTTCCAGCAATGCTGGTCATACCTAAAGCACAAATTACAAAATTTACCTGAACGCTGACGGAGTTTTATTTTCTGAGCAAGAGTTACAGTCATGAGAGGTCAGTCAGTTCTGTAGTTAATTACAAGTAGACTGGGTTTTCCAAAGAATGCTTTTAAATAACTTTATAGGCGCCGCCAAAGTGCTGCACTCATTACTGATTAATAAATTAATACATTTCCATGTCTTTTCCTCTTTAATTGCACATTTGAGTTGGAAACTCTTCTCTTACCATTTCATTCTTCAGTGTTTCAAATGTAATGGTAGCATTCTTCTGCATCTTTTAGCTGGAGCCTTCACTCATTTTTTTTTTTTTTTTTTTGAGCATCGTTTCTACTTGTGAACTAAGCAACTAGTGGGCATGCAACTGACAAGGAAAAGTTGTTAAAATGATAAAACACGGTCTGTAGGAAGGGTTTGGTAGTAAACTTTGTGTGTACCTTGGGTTTTGGCGCGGAAAGTATTCCTGAGGGACACAAGGTGGCGCGGACTTGCATGAACAGAAGAGTGTCGTCGCCTTTCCCACAGCAGTTTAGCTGAACATGAAAGCCAGAGCAAAAGCACTTGTAATTACAAGGCATACTTTTTTGTTTTTCCACAAACATAAAAAATTGGACTCAATACAAAACATACCGTGGTGTGGAACGCACCCAGCACACCGATGGCTGCGTCTTTACTTGGGGACCCCGTGACATCCACAGCCTTGATGTACGCAGCGTCATAGAAATTAATCAGCTCTTTGGACATCTGTGGACAATCAGAAAACGTGAATCTGGATGACAATTGAAGATGATTTTAAGACATTTCTATTTTATTGTACATACAGTGTCCCTGTTCATGAAGCCCCAGATAGCCGCAGCCACTTCACAGGCAAAGAGGATCACCAAAAAGAAGAAAAACTGCACAGAAGATGTTGGAACATATATTTAGTCAGACTTATCTCATTTATTTTATTAAATGTAGTTGCTCTTTGCATAAACAAGAGGTGTGATTGGTGGAGCTGGAATGCTAACCGTTCCTAACAGACACTGAGATTCCTGAATGGCACCGTAACATCCCAAGAATCCCACAAGCATCATGACAGCTCCGACAGCGATCAGTATGTAGACGCCTGTAAAAAGAAAGTCAATTATCACGATGTCACAGCGTCTCAGCCGCCACTAGGGGGCAGAAGTGTCAACGCTAAGAGGGAGAAAACCCTCAAGCACATGAAAGTGAGCCAAATGTTGTTTGGTTTGGGGCTTCCTGGATGTTTTTTCTGTTTTCTCTGTAGGGTGACATACTATTATTTGCATTTGAAAGACAAATATCTCCCACTTCCTGAGCAGCCACCCTGACAAGGAAATCCCTCCATAACACCCTGGACTTCCACACAAAACCCTGTCTGCACTGATCCCGGACTCACAGCATTTCTTGGGAAACATAGCGACCATGTAAGCACACATGGATGCACAAACACACGTTCGAGCAATTAGACATGTTTAAAAAAGAGAGTGCAGGTTATTGTGTTGCCATCAAAACTGAAAAGTGAAACTGGGTTCAATGCAGAATGAAAGCATGAATGAACAAAATAATTAAAGAAACAAAGGAGAAAAATGCCAATAACTATACAATCTGAGATCATTTATACTTTTAGTACACACTGCAGCACATTTAACTAAAAATAATAACATATCAGTAATAAAGTATAAATCCTCACCATTCGGTCATAGTGGCCAAAGCTACCAGCTAGTCTTACAAAGGTCAAGACCAAAACTTCCAACTAAAATAAATAAATAAACAATCTCAATCTTAACACTATTGGAATTTTCTGATCTTTCAAACTGTCTTCATGGTGAATTTGGGGGTCATTTACTCAGAAGACATTGATTATTTACACAGCAACTGGGGTCGTGGGGTCGTGCGGAAATGTGCAACAATAAGTTTCCTGTTAAAAAGGAGAACGGAACATATGAAAGAAAATCAATGAAATAGTTTTCTTGTAAATAACTGTAATGTTTTTGAACTTTACACTGCTTTTATTTTCATATCACTCCATTAGTTTCGCGGTATGCGATCCGGGCAAAAACAGAATTGGTGCCGAAATGCCTTCATCCTTCATTTCCTGTCTAAACATTCATCAGCTTTTTGTGTAAATAAACGTCAAACATAAAGGCAGTTTAACAGATTTCACAACAGCAGTCACATAAACTTCTTTGATGTTTCTGAGATTGGAGCTTTTTTAAAAATGCGGTACAAGGCAGATTCAGTCTTTGGCCTTCTCTTACAAGCCATTCGCTTCAGCTAATATGAATTAGCAGCAATTATCTAAAAATATATAAATTTCAGACTCATTTTGTTTTTATTTTGTTGTCACACCTAGAAGTCTCAGCTCATAAAAACATATTCAATATCAGACGGTTTTTTTTGTTTTTTTTGTTTAGTATGTATTTTTAAAATAGGTCGCTCTTGAAAATTAAGTCCCTGCGTCTCGATGAGATTTCTCTGCATAAATAAAAATAGAAGAAAATTTTAATTTATGATTTAATTTATTAAGGAAAGTCTATTCAAACCAACCTGCAAGAGCTAATCAACCGCTCATTCACAAAGTCACAAAACTCCATAAAAAAGGTTAATATTTTTACACTTTAGCAAAGAAAAGACTAAAGAAAAAGGAGACATGACTGCCAACAAAAAGAAAATCCCCTTCTCGAAACTAGAGTTTGTTCTTCTGACTAAGACAAACGTGAAGATCATTGGAAGACGCCTGTCCTGTCACATGTTGCTTTGATTTCAGAAAAATAACATCATGTTGTTAGAAATGCTCTGATGACATTTTGGGGCTGCTTTGCTGCTTGAGGATCAGACTAAATTGTTTTAACCATGAAATAGCCATGTTTCAGGTTTGGGTGGGAAAACTTTTCTTCAGTAGCACTTTAATGCCGTGAGTCATTTTTGTTTCCATAAGCAGATTCACAGCAAGCATTTGTTCTGCACAGATCAGATACTGATTACATCTGTTTAAACAGGAAATGATGAGCATAAATTGTTCAAATGAAATGAAATACCTAAGAAAAGACATGGTCTGTTGTCGGGATTCTGTGTATCGAGATGACTCACTTCCACTTTCATGACTTGTCAGGCAAGAACTTGTTTTGACACAATGAAAAATGAACAGATTGGTTTAAAACATGAAATATATCTTTTATAAAAGTAGTTCAGGCTTTTCAGAGTCCTCTATTCTGATTTGCAGAGAAACCAACTCACTGACCCGCTAACGAAGCCTGACAGGACTCACCGAAATGAACTAACGGTGACACAGGCCATCTAGCACTGTATCTCATTTATCACACATAACCCAACCCCCTCAGCCCCTTCTCTTTGCTTTCAGGACTTTTTTTGTGGTACCAAGGGAAGGTTACCAGGGCCAGTAAATCTGCAATGCAGCAAAGGAGCCATTATTTCCACTGCCCTCCATTACTATGACAACACCCTTTGAGGTTCGGCATCTATTGAGTCTTTAAAGGAGACATGCGCTTTTAGACCCCCGGAGAAGTCCATTTATTTGTTGTCTCTCAGTACAATCACCAGAAGCTTCACTTGTCTGTCTCCTTCAGTACTTGAATAGAACAAAAAAGGAAGAAGTGATTTTCACACCATCTGAGAAGGATACCAATAAAGTGAAATAAACTCAGGATAAAAAGATATACATTTTGCCTATAATTTAAAAACAATTATTTTACAAAGTTAAAAGCAGACGGAGGAAATATGCAGTGTGTCTTTGACTCCCTCGTTATGTAATCCAGGGCAGTGCAAAAATGATTTACTATCCTCGAAGACATGCCAGCAGTTTAAAGGGGATGCTCTACTTTTATGCTTATTTCTGTTTTTGGCCAAGAACCAGAGAACATCTTAACCCTCAAACTTTTTTTTTTTTTTTTTACATTTTGTCACATTACAACTAGAAACTTAATCAAAATATTATGCATCCATGAAATATCCACATGACTGATTAGCAATGAGTGGAAGACAACTGTGAAATGAAAGCAAAAAGCAGCAGCAAAAAGCAGCAACATTTTTTTGATCAATGAAAATCTGAAAAGTTTCATCCCGGACTTCCATTTCTCTGTTCATCTTCCCATGAACTCTGACCTGCTTTCCAGTCCGCAGTGAGAAATAGCATCCCCAAAGCATTATGCAGCCAACACTGTGTTCACTGAACTGTAGGCTCTAAACTCTCCCATTTGAGAAGTTACACACTGGTGGAGTTTGTTGACTAATTCAGCCTCTTCTGCAGTATGTAGGGGAATCACAATTATAGCCAATCCGGAGCATCCGCTTTGTAAGGCTGTCATGCAGTAAACAAGTGTTTTCAGTCAGACACGTCTCCATTCATGCTGCAAGACAGACTGCTACAGGAGATCCTTCCTGGCCAAACCCATCAGAACTCTGAGGAAGCTTTTTATGGTATGAATTGCACCAAGAATTATTTTCATTTTGGGATTATAAGGTATTTTCAAATTGATTTTGAATCAAATTTAATGTGTCCACACAACAACACAATGAACATCAGTGCATCTCGTTTTGCTGTAGTTTCACTTTTCTTAGTTTTTTTCATTGTTGGAGTTTTTTTTAGCTGGTTTGTCTGATTTTAATCAACATTAATCTAAATGTTTTCAATAAAATGAAATAATATTTGACTGATTGACTGAATAAACCAAAGTCTCACAAGAAGTCTGTTGCATTAATTTGTGTTTTATTGCTTACAAGTGGATCTCTGATATTCAGAAGAGCATTTTAATAATGAAAAAAGCTGTTTACTTTCTCATACTTAGTGTCTATGCAGTGCTTCTCATTACTTGGCTCTGAGTTTATGTGTATAATACAAACATGAGCACTATGGAGATTTTTCTCATTTTCCTCACAGCAAGCAAAAGTTCAACTATGAAGGAGTCAGAGGCTGTGGCACAAACCAGACCAGACAACTGCCACAGTAAGCTTCTCAAGTGCTGCAGCAGAGGTGGGAGCGTGTGTATTTCCAGTCTTACATAAATACCACTTTGGTGTGCCAGTAAGCTAAAAAAACACCCACTTCAAACTTTAATTTGAGGGATAATGTGCACATGTATGAGATTATTTGAATTATGCTTGGGCGTATGTTGAAGGGAGGGCCAAAAAAACGAAATATTCCCTTGATCTTGCCTGGGTGGGCCTTTCATGCCGCCACTGCTTTAAAATCATGTGAGTTCCTCCTCTCCACTATAAAAAGCTCGAGTTTGACTTTGTCCCATATACTTACGGAGGGGGTAAGTATGGCAGAACAGCAGGAGCCCAGATGTAAATTAATAGTTTTACTGGAGTTCACCGCCGCAGCAAAAACCAAGATCATGGGGCTTTGAAATGCTTACATCATGTCATGTTTTACTGTTTAGGGAGCTGAGAGCAGTGAACGATGGAGACAAGATACACACTATATGATCTGAAAAACAAAAGGAGCATTTGCCACAAGATGAAATATAAGATTAGAAGAAAAAGTGTGCAACAGAAGATACAGTTCATGTTTATATTTCTGCACCACTCTCAAAGGCAGTGTTTCTGGGCTCCACATCTGTTGCAACATCTGTCTGAAGCATCTGGCTGCTATCAAATGGTTACCCAAAGAGACTGAGGGAGACGCAGAACTTAAACATGAATATGAAAAGTTTTTAATTCAGAAATGATGACCTACGGTGAGGTCGTGGGATAGCGTTAAAGCTGGTTGTAATCACTCTTAAGGCGAGACGCGGAACTACGCAGGTCCTGTTTCCTATTGTGAGAGGTCGAGTCAGCCCACTCGCTTCTAATTATATATTTTAGGTGGCTGTTCTAAGATAGCTCTTTCTCTGTGTTAACAATTGAAAATAAAGACAAAATTAGTAGATGTTAACTTTTTGAGATCAACTAAATGATGAGGGATGTTTAAGCCTCGAGCAAAACTGTGGAAAATGAACAGCAATAAACTTTTTTATGTAACCACAGCATAAGTGATTTTGTAGTAATGATTCCAAGGCTCACACTCATTTCTCCTTCCCTCTATTCCAGTGTGATGCCGATCCGAGAGCTACACATAAAATTTGTTGATGTGATGTTACATTTTAAGTGATGAATATTTTACTTCAACCATTTGTTTTATGTTTTAGAAATAATTAGCAATCATATTCAACATAATATATCGAAATAGTTACTGGTGCCATCTAAGCGCTTAAAGTCATTCTCATAAAATGCCAGAAAAATGCCTTGGCCCCTCCCCCACATGTTTCTGCCCCCTGCTGATCATCTCATCCCTTAGCTTACAGCTAAGACAAATTCAGCTTCATGGAAAGGTTTTCAGACACAAAAAATAAGGACAGCGTTGGTGTGAAAATGAATAGAGCACAACCTATAGTTTATGAAAAGTTTTCCTGTCGAGCTGATGACTTCACCAGTTATGCAGGAATACACCGACTGGCCAAAACAACAACAAAAAAGTCTCCAAATGAATTTAAATGAGCAAATAGTTGCTGCATGGAAAACTAACCCTTCTCTAAACATTGAGGCTAACTGGAGGAAATCTGCTGGGGAGCACAGAGACCGGACTCTGGAGCGACGCAATCAGGTCATGTGACCAGATGAGTCCAGATTCGCCCTCTTCCAGAGAGACGGGCTCATCATCAGGATAAGAAAAGAGGCAGATTAAGTGATGCAATCATCATGCCTGGTGTCTTCTGTTGCAGCCTGTGGGGGCAATGTTGTCATATGGGGTTAGTCGGGTCAAAGTTCAGAAACATTACAAGGTCAGCTGACTAATCCCATTTGGGGATTGTTTCTTTCCTGTTGAAATGAGGATATTTTAAGATGATAATTCCAGGCTTCATTGTGCTAAAATTATCAACGTGTGTTTCAGTGAGAGGAAGACATCTTTACACACGGAACGGCCACCACAAAGTTCACACCCTAACCCCACTGGGGACCTTTGTGATGTTCTAGAGAAGGCTTTGCACTGAGCTTTCCCTTCATCACCACAAGGTCTTGGTGAAAAACGTGTGCAACATTGCATGAAATAAATGTCCACAACTTGTTGCAAGCATTTTGAGTATGTCTTATTCGCAATTTATTTTACTTTACATGTCTGATCTAAGTGCTGTCAACAGATTTCCTTCAGGGATTTTGAAGTAAATGGGTCTAACTGTGAAGGCTTGATGGACTTTTAAGATTTTTATTTAAAAAGAATACGTGCCACTTTCTTTCAAGTGCATAAATCTGTGCCAGTTTGTATTGATCTAGAACATAAAATCCCTATGAATGGCATTGAAATTAGTTGCAGTTTTACTGAGGTGGATACTCACTGATGTAAAAGGTGCTCGGCGCCTGCTGGCCTTCAAACTGAAGTATGAGGAGGTTGCTGGTTTGACTGTCATGGCGTAACCACAGGGCCACTCCTAAGATCACACCTCCGGCCAGCTGTCGGAAAGGGAAACAGGCTTTAATTATTCATCCTCACATTTTATCTGGCTACTCTAATGACACCCTGAGGGAAGATCAGAGCCATGTAGGAACATACAGAAAAGGTCAAACAGTGACATGAAACTGAGGTCAATAATTTGTTTAAATTAAACAAACGTTCAAAACTGTCTTCTAACTTCTTTCTCCCTTTGTACTGAACTCCACTGTGGAGCTGAGGTCTGAAAGCAGAAAGGACATCCTGACACCTCAGTGACCTGTGGCACAGAATGTGCCCTCACAGCATTGTTTACAGCCAGATCGGCAAATAAGTATTTTTTATCTTTTTAAACTTGCCTTGTTTGCTATTCTGTAACCCCTGCAAAAATCTATCAATATTTTATCCCAAAAGTCGACTGGTGGAATGGGGTTGTTTGCATGTCTGTGCCAATATTCAAGCTGTATCAAGAAATCTATCCCCCATTCTTATTCTCGCTCTTTTTTTCCCACCTGACTGGTCACCATTGTTCCCAAAGAAACAGGAAACTCAAATCACAATGTGAAAAATAGCCAAATGAGGAAGAAGGGGCTCAAGAGCTTTCACATAGACGGGCACAGCGGCAAAACCAACAGAGGAAGCAGTCGATCAAGTGCGGCCTGTCCAGGATGTGGCGACTCCTTGCTCATCTAAACAATGCTGCATGCGCCAATGGAAACTTACATATAGGGCCTTAGAGACTATCAGTGTAGGATAACTTGGCAGATAAATAATAAAGCTGTTTTCTTTTGTAACCTATGTGTATTTGAAGATAGTTTAAGAGTAAGTTCCCAAAGAAATTTTTTTTGAAATCATCAGAAATGGTGAGATCTTGGACATTTTTGAAGTTTGAAGCAAAACTCTCCAAAAATCTGGTCAACTGGTCAGTTTTAAGTGTTAATGAGCATTATTGTAACATACTAAGGGTAAATCTGTTATTTAATTTTCAAAATGTATCTATTGTGTTCTTCCTGATATTGACCTAAAGCAACATCAATGATGGATTTTAAGGAGAGTTTCTAAGAAAGAGAGATGATAAGAATCTCATCCCACTCAGAAGTCCTGAATGATCCTCTCCCAACTTTTGGTGGTTCTGCCTTTGAGTCATCGACACAGGAGTCACAAAGAGCACAAGATGTGGTTCTCAAAGTTTAAAGATCTGATCTGTTTCAATGCAAATATCAAGGAATTAAAACTTCATCGAAAGAAAACATTCAGTCTAAAAAAACCAAGAGAAATTAAACAACTCAAACATAAGAGATGTTTTTTTTAAAAAGTAAAGTAAGATTGACTCACCCAGAAAATAAAATTAAAGAAGAATAACATATATTTTATGCATTTCGTACAGCCCGCCACAGCCATTGTTGCAGCTTCTTTTCAGCTCGTCCTTCTGCTCAAATCAAAGTCTACTTTCAGGGATCACTCAGATTTTATTCGAGCCAGCTAAAACAGAAAACTCCTCCTTCACAACGAAGAGTGAAAACCGAGACGGGGATCTGCCCACCAAGTGCCGCAGACAGGACAAGGCAGAGAGGAAAACAGAGTGTGGAGGGAGGGAGCCCCATTTCCTTTCAGCTGGGTTCAGATTCCAGATGCAAGTTAGATTTAACCAGATTTATCCAGTTAATAGTGGCACATATAGAGTGGCTTGCAAAAATGTCTTGGATGTTTTTGCATTTCGCCTCAATGCGAGCATAAATTTGAATTTTATTAGGGTTTTACATGGGTCAACACAAAGCAGAGCACAATGATGGGTAGACAGAGAAAACTTTCTCATGTAAAGACTGAAATATTTATTCATTCTTCTTCAAGTCAAGCCCAATCTGACTTGACTTGATTCAACTCAAGTCAGACTGGATGGTCAATCAATTCACAAATTATCCATTGCATTTAAGTTTGAAACTTGACCTCTGGGCTGTTTGAACACATGGAATTACTTGGACCTGATCCATTCATTGTACTGGTACTGGTTGCATGCTTAGGGTCATTGTCCAACTTTTTTTTTTTTAATTTCCTTTATTTAGCCAGGATAACTCTGTTGAGATCTAGATCTCATTTTCAAGAGAGGCCTGGGCAGAAGTCTGCAACACACAGCAACCTGGTTACAAGATAAAACCAATTAGCATATATGCACAAGTGTATAACAATAGAAAAAATATATAAACATTAAAAACAACCTCTGTCATTGTCTACACTGTTTTTAATTGAATCCTTCACCATGTTTTCTTTCTAGAGCCATCCATCTTTCTATGAATTAAAGGTGTTAAATACATACATATGACACACTTTTCTGAAAATGTTTTTAAAACCATGCATAATTTTTCTTTAAATTTGTATTTGCTTTACGCTGGTCTATCACATGAAACCCAGATATAACACAATGCCAATCTAAACAACAACAACACAACTCTTTGTTATCCAATGTCTAGATCCTCTGTTAAGGAGGAATATGTAAGAGAACTGGAAGACAGTGTTCACAGTTTATATCTCCCCCATTTTCAAAATCGGTCATTGGTCAACCAAAATAAGTCCAAAAAAGAAAGAAATTAATGAAGAAAGAAAGAAAGAAAGAAAGAAAGAAAGAAAAAAAGAAAGAAAGAAAGAAAGAAGAAAGAAGAAAGAAAGAAAGAAAGAAAGAAAGAAAGAAAGAACATGCTTTGCAAATGTTCTTAGAGTGGTTGATAGCGCCCTCTGCTGTCAAATAAATCTCAAGCAGAAGGTTTGTAATTATTCAGAAGAAACGCAACGCATATTTTTATATTCAAATATTATACATAATTATTCTCTGTCTTCGCATGGAATGTCTGTGCTCTTAGTGAGGTTTGTGATGTTGATGTAGATCTGCAGTCTAAAGCTTAATATATGTTTATGTTTAAATCCCACACAAGGTAAATGATCTTGTGGTCTGTGGTGTCAGAGGCGCATCTGCGCGTTTGTGGCTCCAGGGTCACACCTTCAGCTGACAGCTGCGCAGGATGATGGAGTGCGCTTCCCCGCGGGCAGTGGGAGCTGCTCTCCGGCCACAAGGATAAGTGAGACAAATTAGAAAAAGTGAGCAGCTATAAGACGATTTCAATATCTTTAACTGAGAGGGGACTTGACAGATTTCATAGGCTGTAAGTGCAAGCTCCTCCACTGGGCATGCTCAATCTGGTTTGAAACAGGAGCAGAGAGCCTCGGTGTGAATAACAGGCAGTTTGGGCGTTTTTTGAGGAGGCTCATCGCCCTCTTCATCCTCGATTCGTCTTATTTGGTCTAGTGTACAGATCTGAGAAGAGGACCGTTCAGCCTTTGATCCGACTGGGATATTTTTCATCCTGATCATGCATGAATGACAGCGGTGAAGATCTGCGCTCTGATCTTATCTGCTGAGACAAAGAGCGGCTGTGTGTGGCGGTGGCGTCGCCCAAACGGCGCGGAGAGGGAGCGGACTGAGCTGAGCGTGACGGAGGTGAGTCTGGAGGCAGCTCCGCGTCTCCATCAGACGCTGTCCGCTCAGCACCACCGCAGTCACCTTGCTGTGAAAGTCACGAACAACAGACGACCTGCTGGATTCAATGACCCGATCTGGAAACTGTTGCCATCTGGGTGTGTGTGTTTTTAAAATATGTGCACATCTGTGATCTGGGAGCAATGTGACGTCCATTCCTAATGTGACTCCATTGGCTGCACTCATTTTGAATGCCGATTCTATACCTTCAGCAGAGCCTGGCAATGTTAACAGTTTAAAATCAGCCAGGTGCATGTCAGGTGTTGGTCAACAATACAGGATAATAGAGGGAATGCATGACAAACAACCCTGATTTCCTCCCAACTTGCGACTGGTTGCTTTGTGCGTAATTGCTGTGCGCCGCTATAAAGGTATATCTAGACTGACCTTTGCAATGAGTGGAACTTAGTGGAGAAATGCCTAAGGGACGCGATGGGCTTGAGCGACGACAAGGATCGCATTGTGATAAACGTGGGAGGGATCAGACATCAGACATACCGCAGTACCCTGCGCACCCTACCTGGAACCCGCTTGTCCTGGCTGGCCGAGCCTGATGCGCCCAACCACTTCGACTATGACGCCAAGATCGAGGAGTTCTTCTTCGACCGCCACCCGGGCGTTTTTGCACATATCCTTAATTACTACAGGACGGGTAAACTGCACTGCCCGGCCGACGTTTGCGGGCCGCTGTATGAGGAGGAGCTGGCCTTCTGGGGCATCGATGAGACAGACGTGGAGCCATGCTGCTGGATGACCTATCGACAGCACCGGGAGGCAGAGGAGGCTCTTGATAGTTTCGGTGGAGGGGGTCTGTTAGACCTGGGGAGCGAGGATCCGGAGCCAGAGCCGGAGCATGAGGATGATGATGAGATGACAAGGAGGCTGGCGCAGGGGGATTCACCTGACGTGAGGAGCAGCAGCCTGTGGAGCCGCTGGCAGAAACGGGTCTGGGCTCTGTTCGAGGATCCCTACTCTTCAAAATATGCCAGGGTGAGTGTTTTTTCCCCCTTCTCCTTCTTTTTACCATGTTATTGTTGTTCTAGTTTCATCTGAATTGGGTTGCAGCGCAATAAGCCAGACAGTCTGCATGCATAATTAATGACTTTCAGATAGGACCATTCATGTTTCAATGAGCTGCTAAATTTATTTGTTTATTTAAGCTTAAGTGATAAATGTGACTCCAAGAGGCTCTTTTAAATATCTATTATTTATTTATGGCCGGCGTCTCACCCATTACATATTCTATCAGTAAAACAAAACTCCTGAAATTCTGTTCTGGCTTTTGGCTTTGTTGTGCAATCCCAAGATTATCAGTGGCCCCCTTATTGAAGCGGCCCTGGGTGAATAAAGTCTAATTCTTTACAAGCAGGAATCTGACTTGATCAGTGGCGTCACGAAGATGTAGGAGGGCAAGAGTATTAAAGGGCATCCAGGCCCCCAGGACAGAAAGGGTTGTTTTTCATTTCTTTAAAGTAAATATAGCAGTTTTAAATCCTGGAGTAAATCTCCCCGTTACTCTTATTTTGCTGGCAGCATAATAAAATTCAAATGTAAAGCTTAAAGTTTTGATGTGTCCACCACAAGATTGTGAGTGCCTCTGTTTCACCAACAAACACAATGTTTGTTGGTGAAACAAACATTGCATCATCATCAAAACAAGCAGTGATGAAAAAATGCATCAAAAAAGCTTTGATGCATGTTTTTTGTTTATTAATTTATCAAACAACTATTTGATTTTTTAAAATCATTTAAAAAAAGGGAGTGAGTTACCACATTTAATTATTGCTTTTATATGGTTAATTTATAACCTTTTATATATTCAATGGCACTTTATGAATTACTTAATTGTTAATCAATATTTGCTGTGCGATTTTAATGTGTCTGAAAAGCTCTTATATTTAAATTATGGTCTTAAAAACAGAGGGAAATCAGTCAATCAACTAAATTACGTTATTTGTTCATTTATTTTTTTTAAGCTTATTTTATTTTTTCCACTTCTATTAAAAAGCATGCCACTTCTGAATCAATTACTCATTCCACATTTCACTGTATGTGACAACAGAATAATAAAACTTATAAAAGTGATTTATTGAAAGATGATCAATCCTCTTGTCGTGTAACTCTGTGGAAGTGCCTCTGTTCTTGACAGAATCAGTCAGAACTGTACAAACACTTGTTAATTTGCCTGTGCTGTTGCGATGGCACAACAGAAATTGATGAGTTCAGGAGGCTTTTTATGACCTTGCTTTGTAATCCCTGGGGTTTCCAGAGCAGGTCGATGAGAGCACAGAGACAGAGCAGAGAGAGAGAAAACAAAAATATCTTCTGCAGAAAAACGATTTGGATGCAAATCATAGCTTTCATTCTCCTCCAGCAGAGAGATGCAGAACCTCGCTGAACCTCCAACAGGTCTTTAGATTGTTATTTCCAGGACAGAAGGATCCCCAGTTATGTAGGTCAACTCCACATAAGGACACCAGCTCTTTGGCACCAACCAATTGTTTGTGGCAGACCTCCAAACAAAAATGAGGTTGCTCTTTCAGGTGTCGTTATTAGTCTTTGTTACGGGCACTTTTCCATCTGGGCATAATGCCCCACGTTGGTGAAAATGAAATAACAACCAGCTTTTCAGATGCTTCAGAAAGGCCGCAGAGCCCCTACAAAGGACCGCTGTGCTACATGCTGTTTGAACAGCTGTACCAACCTGATTGGTGTAAACAGTCAAGCTGCTTTAAAGGAAGTCTATATTGACAAATACTAACCCCTTAAGCTTTAGGCACAGCAGTGTAACCTTACAGTGTGCCATTTACAACATAATAATTTAATGAAAGGGGAAAACAATTTCTGAATTTCAAAAAATCCTAAAACTATAACATGTCCTACATTCAACAATAACTCTGACAAAAGCAGATCAAAGATTGACAGAGCGCCACCAAAACTGGCAATAAGATTAATTAGATGTGAGCTTCAGAGTTAATTACAGACTCTATTCACAGTGGATCTAAGCCATTGTCTCTGCATAGTAGGCCTGTGGTTTTTCCGAGACAGGGAGAATTATCAATAAAGAAAAAGTCTTTTGTCTTTCCACTGACTGCGCTGTCAGAGACGCATAATTCAGGGGGCGGCCCAAAAAGATGCAGCGCTTGTTTCTTTGTTTGGAGGGTGGGATATTCAGCAAGCTGAATGTTTGGAGGCATTTGCGAATGAAATAAAAGAAGCTTATCGGAAAAAAAAGGCTTCATCAAACTAAAGCTTGTTGACTGATATTGTCTACCCAACTTGAGGTGCAAAAAATGTTACTATTATGAAACATTTTGGTATCTGAAGAGATTCAAATGAAAAAATAAACAGGCTACTTGAAAGGAGAAGACAGGGATGTAAAATCTGACTTATTATGGAACACAGTGTAGAGGGGGTGGACAAAACAGCATTATGCAATCAGAGAAAACACTAACACTTTTTATTGCTTCAGAGCTCCGACACAAAATTCACTTTTTATCACATCAAGAAAAAACTGTGAAGTCCATGAAAGGACTGAGCTTTACATATTTTTTCTTGCCATTTAGCATCACAAACTGAATTTTACTGAATTTTATTGGCATGTATATGAGTGAACTTTAATCTCTCCAAATGTTTATATTTACACGGATATGGACTGAAGCATTTGTCTCGCAAAGTGTGTTGAAATTACATTTGTTCTGAATTGACGCTACAGAAAGACGACTTGAACTCAACTGAACAAATTATGCAATATTCGACAATATTTTCAGGGTTGCCTTTCTATGTGCACAGTCCTGCTGTTGACACAACTCAAGTCTGAAGTCAGCACATAGTGTGCCCCCTGAGCCACTATGCTGTTATTTGGAAGGGAAGCAGACTTTCATAAGCAGCAGTGATTTCCTCGGCTCAGAGCAATGATTCGTTGGTGATGAGGATGTTATAATGAGTGCCTGTTTTCCATCTTGTGCTGCGCGTCTGCCTCTCTGTGAATGGATGCTACTGCCAGGCAGAGCAGAGTTTGTTTTGCTCAGCAGAATGCATGCCCAGACCTGCTCCTTTTCATTCAACTTACACCTTCCCTAAAGTCATTCATTATTTCTTCACACTACTTAACAATCCCATGCATTCATTTGAGAGGTACTACAAAGCTTGTCTTTGATGCATTTTTACAAACAAACAAGCAACTATTGATTCCACTTTTGCAACTCATGGAATAGTAATCCCTCTCTTCCTGTTTACACTTCCTGTCCACTCACCTCACTTAAGATGAGGATGCTTATTCCTGCTTTAACATAACAGACAAACCCTTATTTCGCCACTTAGCTTCTTCCTATTTCCTGTATGTAAACTATTATGCATCTATTTATTTCCAGTGGTAGTTATGTATGCTTGATGAATTACATGAGGATAAAGTAATTCAATTTGTTTATATTTCCTGAAAATTTTGTTCTAAGATTATTCAGCCCCACTCCAATTTAGGGTTATTAAACTGCACAACCTAATAGACCTTTGCAGTAAACAAATCAAGTAAAAACAGCGAAATAGTACTTTGTAAAGCACTTTTTCATTACTATGATCTGCCCTATACAAACAATTTATGGATAGACAGCAGATTCTGGTTGCTTTCCTCAAGCATGCTCAATGAAAAGCCAGTTCATTGATATTATTTCAAAGGCTTGTGAAAACAAGATAACTAAGCAAACTCCTTCAGGTTGATATTATTTATGGGAGTCATATAACCGCATTTCCTTACAGTACACTATCAGGACAATATAAATAAAATATTTGAAGTCATGGATAGGCAACGCAGGTACAAAATACTCCCCAAAGGAGGCCTGATCTGATGCATGTCTTGCAACAGACAGATCCATTTTATATGCAAAACAATTGGGTACAAAACAATTAAAAATTAATAAGTATAAAAGAGGTGAATTGACCAACACCTGCTGCAAACCAGCACAGCATGATAGGATGGAGATAACATGAGAAAGGCACTGTGATGAAAGGCCTCCACTACATTCCGCAGAGAGAGCAGCTGTTACGCTCATGTTGTATGCACCAGGTCTCTGGCGACCCAAATGTGATGAAATCTGGGAATCTAATCAATACATAATGAAGGCTGAAGTACTCTGTACCCATTAGGTGAATGATGGGTTTCTCCCAGCTCTCGGTGATTCCCAGGAGCTGGTCCTCAGGACAGTGTGACCTTGTGCAGGGAAAACCTACAGTAGTGGTTGTGATGAAGGGAAAAGCCCAGGCTAAAGGTTGAGGGTTGACAAAAATATCCCGTTTATTACTACTGTTCCAGATGCTGCAGGCCTTTATAATTCAGAATATAGGTCACTCATGAAAATGCCATGACCTTGAGCCTCAGCATAAGCAAGAGGAGCAACAGGAGGTTTATCCAGATCATCCCCTTAAAGAGGAAAAACACAGATAACACCAACTGACATCTCATCATAGTCAAAACAGATGTTATTTCATAGATGACGGATTGAACTGCATTGTGTCCTGCTGAATATAGCTGCTAAACCATCAAGTCTGCTTACATTGCTCACTGCCCTCTGTGTCCTCAAATCCCTTTTATCTTTTTCCCCTCTCAGTGGATTGCTCTGGCCTCGCTTTTCTTCATTTTGGTGTCTATCACCACCTTCTGTCTGGAGACCCACGAAGCCTTCAACCCGATTGTGAACCGCACCGAGACGGAAGTGCTGGACAACGAAACGGTGGTGAGCACATACCAGGAGACCGAGACGGCGGCCTACCTCACCTACATCGAGGGCGTCTGCGTTGTGTGGTTCACTTTTGAGTTTCTGATGCGAATAACTTTCTGTCCAAACAAATTTGATTTCATCCGGAACGCGCTCAACATCATCGACTTTGTGGCCATCCTGCCCTTCTACCTGGAGGTGAGCCTCAGCGGGCTGTCCTCCAAGGCAGCGAAAGATGTGCTGGGATTCCTGAGAGTTGTCCGCTTTGTGCGGATCCTGCGTATCTTCAAGCTAACCCGTCACTTCGTGGGGCTGCGAGTCCTGGGTCACACTCTGAGGGCCAGCACCAACGAGTTCCTCCTCCTCATTATTTTCCTTGCTCTTGGCGTCCTCATCTTTGCCACAATGATCTACTACGCAGAACGCATTGGAGCTGACCCCAATGACCCGAGAGCCAGTGAGCATACACAGTTCAAGAATATCCCAATCGGATTCTGGTGGGCAGTGGTGACGATGACGACCCTCGGCTACGGAGACATGTACCCTCAGACGACCTTTGGCATGCTGGTTGGAGCCCTGTGCGCCCTGGCAGGTGTGCTGACCATCGCCATGCCCGTACCAGTAATTGTCAACAACTTTGGAATGTACTACTCCCTGGCAATGGCTAAACAGAAACTACCAAAGAAAAAAAACAGGCATATCCCCAGAGCGCCCCAACCAGGCTCCCCTAACTACTGTAAGTCCAGCATCAGCTCCCAGCATCCAAGCCCTTTAGCCCACGACGATGTGTTTGAGATCAAATTTCAAGGTAAGCAAGAAGGAAAACACAAACTCTCTCATACTGTTGTTGAAGCTGATTGCTCCTATAAGAAATAGCCATTTCACTATTTAGCAGTTTTGCCGTCTGATCCTGTACTTCAGTCAGCTGCTGACTCAGACATGAGACTAAACAAAAAATACAATTCTGAAAACAATCAATGGAATGCAGTCTGAATGAAAAAGCCCATTTGACTTTTGATAAAAGAAAAAAGGAGACCCTGAGTATTCTTGCTATTGATTTTGCACTTCCTAATGCAGTGACTCATACTCTGTGTCTCTTAACACTGAGAGGATGTAGTTGCAATGTTAAGTACAACCATTAGTAGATGCTGGAACAACTTAATGCCCCTCTGATGATGTCAGCGCTGAGATAAATTGTTTTTTGCCAGAGGTGGATTACATCAGCAGCTCCAGGTAAACACCAGACAGAAGTTGCTGTTTACAAAAGTTTTGAGATGCCTTGAACTTTTGTCTCACATTTTGTGTCACCACAACAAGCTTTAAGGTATTTTGTTTGTTTCTTATGTGATAGAAAAACACAAATTTACTGCAAAGTGGAAGAAAGTTATGGTTTCTAATAATATTTACAAATAAAAAGAGGAAAAGTTTCTTGTGAAAACACATGCAGTCCCCTCTTCTCTGCAAAATAAGCCAATCATCTCAGTATAAATCAAAGACACGTTTCAATTAAATGTTTGAGGGCAAGATATCTTCATGTCCTACAGAAATCCAGTGCATATTACACTTTCTATATTTAGAATCTTAATATAAATTTGGAAAAAAAAATCATCATAGTGATGTGCTACTTTGTGTTGGGTTATGATCAAAAATACTTCTAACCATTGCAAAAGTTTTCACTTGGTCAAAATGACGAAAAGTTCGAAGGGTAAAAACCCTTTTGGAAACATCATTATTTTGCAGGTTCATTCCTGCAAAATAGTCATAATTAAAACAATGTTGCCCTTTACAACATCGCCTTCCCATTTAAAAACATTTTGTACATTATTTTAAGACTCCAAGCTGAATGGCGAAGCGGCTAACGCAGCACTGGCCAACGAAGACTGTCCGCACATAGACCAGGCCATTTCTCCGGAGGAGATCTTCAGCCCCAGCGAGCGAGAGCGGCCCTGCTTCTTGGTCACCACGGCTGAACACCCCAACCACACGGGGGGCAGAGTGAGGAGGGGTACGTACAGTAACAGCCAATCACAGGCCCCCCCGAGACACTGACACCCTGTAGGCGATAGACATGACACGCTCCTCTGTTGCATCAGCTTTCTCCACGCACATCCAAAACACGCACACACACACACACGCACACACACACACACACACACACACACACACACACACACCCACACACACACACACACACACACACACACACACACACACACACACACACACACACACGCACACACACACACACACACACAGCAAACCTCACCACTCACTTTTCCTCAATCATCCTGGTGGAGATTGTATACAATTCCAACCCACACACAGGCACAATCCCCACAAACATCAAGGATAAGCCACATCTACATAAGATATATTTTTTTATACCATGCATAATGCAACACCCCTATTTATTTACTAGTGAGAAAGCTATTTTTGAGATTTATATGATCTAGAATGTGTCGTACATGTGTATCATGTACGTTTATGTGTTTTAATGATAAGTAATGTGTGGGATTCTGACTTACAAGAACATTCCTCTTGACCATATCGATGCATGAAGTGTCTTGCTGATGGGTGCTATCAGCATGGTGAAGGAGCACAACACGAAAAGTGAATTATTATTATCAATATTATTATTATTACAGCTTAAGACAATTTAAAATTCTATTTAAATGATAAAAAGTTCTAAACATTCCTCTTGAAGGTGATGTAAGTTTGTGTGCAGTAACTGGCACACAGAATGAAATTCTGCTGGTAGCCAAGTGTAGACCTCCTGCCCACGGTGCCTATTGTTCTGTCTTGTTACAGTGTTCTACTCCAAACCATTCCAGTACCACCCGGTGCATGCTGTTGTACTCCTGATGCACTCAATGCATGGAGAATAATAATCTGTCTCAAGTCTGTGTTGACCTGTTTCTTTGGAGACAAAAACAAGAAAGCAACAGGTGTAGTGTAAGAAGTGAGGAATACCAAAAAAAAAGTTAAAAAAAAAAAGTTAAAAGATAGAAAGAAAACCTTCTGTCATGGATCCAGTGCTGCAGTGTACTCAGAACGATCTCTGTTTTCCAACTGAAGGTTATGAAAAGCCTTGGAGCCTTAACAGCATGTCTGGCATGAGCGGGGATGCCTCTGGAGTGTCCTCAGTGTCCGCCCTGCCCTGCAGCCCACCCTGTCTAATGCAGCACTCACATTCTCCCATCCCATCCATTATGTAGCATGGTTGAGTAGCAGACACAATGCCATTGGAAGGCCAGTCCACAATCCTCCTTCTTATCTCTCCTGTCAGACTTTGCTTTGACACTTCTTGCCTTCGCTCCTGATTTTGTTTTCTTCTCATTATGGTTTGTTTTGGTTTTTCTTTTCCCTGGAACAATGTATCTTAACTGTGCTTAAACTTAAGCTTCCCAAGTGATACACTTGGGTGTGTCATCATATTCTATAGTAGTCAACATTGGCATATGCCACTCTGCATGGGACACCTGAGCTGCAGACGAAGCACTATTCCACTGCAGGCTAATTCCTTTTTTGTTTTCCTGTGTTGACATCATTGCCTGTTGCTCTGTTGCTTTTGATCTCTCATACTCTTCTGCTAATAAGTTTGATCTCATTTGCTTTTTTGTCTTATTGTTTTTTTTAAATTTTGTAAAAATATACTTTTTTTCCATGAGATGTAACCCCTGTTGATAGTTTGCTGGAAATTAACTCATTGCTTTGAAACATATCTAAAAGCTGTTAAGGCAACTATCAAGTGCTTTGTGTGTTGCAAAGTAGAGACGTTTTTATGCAGAAGTGCAATCCAGACAAGACTCCATGTTAACTGAGTGGCCATTAGAAATATACATATTTGAACGCAATGTTCATGATGTCCAATGCAATATGGAGATTATGACAATTCCTTTGATGCCAGTGATGGATACATTTAATGTCAACAGAACTAAAACTGTTAATTTGCATGAACTGCATGATAAATCATGTTCAACCAGAAGCTTATTGTAATGCAGTAACTGTAAGAAAAAAAAAAGAATTTAAAAGCTTCCTGAACTTTTTCATTCTTATGCATTTCAAGACAGCTTTACAAGAGACTCAGTCATAGCAGAGATTTTTTATGTAGCCACCATTCTTTGCCTTTCCCCAACTTTATACATTTATTTTCCTTGTCATTTGACTGCGGTCTCTCGCTAACACAGAATGGTCTAACTTGAACAAATTTGACACAAAGCCAACAAATGCCATTTTATATGACAGTGTTCACTGGTAGTTTAGGGTTTTTAAACTCTGTAAATACTCTTTAGCAACTTCTGTTACTGCTGTGCTGCTTGACCTGATGCAGGACTCATGATTTATACGGGCGCACCTCAATAAATTAAACACTTACTTATTTTATTAACCAAAAAGTGAAACTCAGATTATATAGACTGATTACATCCAGATTTATATATTTCAAGCATTTATTTCTGGAAATAAGATCAATAAAAAAGAAAATTTGAAGAATGAGCCATGTTTTGTCCTTCATAATTATAAGGGCTGCTTAAGAGACAGTTGTCCAGAAGTCAGACATGTTGGGCAAATAAGCCGACAGAGGTCTAACAAAAAATAAAAGTTTGAACAGACAGGGATGATTTGGGAGCCATGTCATCTGCTGGGTTTTATTGAGTCCAAAGTGAGTATTTTTCTACCAGGAACTTAGCGCACCTTATGCTACCTTCAGCTGACAAGCTTTAAACAAGAACAGATTTAGTTTTCCAGCAGGATGTGGCACCTGTGATGCTGGATCTGTCGGAAAATTCACCAGAGCTAAATCTCACAGAGCAAACCTTTTGCAATACTGGCCTAAATTAAACATTGGGTTACATTTACCTGCTCAGCAATAAATTAAACATTCAATATCCAAATTGAATGAACAAATTAGTTTGAATTTCATAGAAAATGATCTGTTAAGCATTGCAATCCTAAAACATAAGAATCTTACATATTTTTCTCACAAAACAAAGTCATTCAATGTCCCAGTCTGTGGTGTGATAACAGATTTATTGCTTATTCTTAGCAATAAGAGCAAGATGTGGGTCAATACTTGTTGTATTTGGTTAAATAAATGGACCCAAGTCGGTTTTTGAATAAACGCTGTTGGAATTAGTTATGTTGGTAAATGGTACCAAAAAGAACCTGCAGAGTATTGGTGAGACACCTGGACCAATATGCTGCTAAAGCCATCTGGGTTTCCTTATTACCTCAGCAGGGGGTCGCCTCCGTGCCCTATTGCATTGATGCAGACATTCCTGCAAAAGGAACCCAAGTGTTACATGAGTATTTTCAGTAGGCAGTTATAAAAATATTTTTTTTATGGGTCTTTTTTGACATTCAGATTTTTTAAAAAACGTAATCTTAGTTTTTTAATAGACATAAATTGTATTTAATTAAAAGAAAATGAAATAAATGCTTTTAAAGATATAGTTCTGTGTGTAATTAATAAATACATATATTGTATTTCACTTTTGAATTCAATTCCTGAAAAGTATTTATTAAGATGTGCCTGTAAAACAATGGTGCCTTCATATCAAGTAAAGCAGAGAGAAATTGACACCTTATTAAACAAATGTTCCCAGTGTAGCATCATTATGCCACTTTATTTCCTAAGTAGGTACTTTTAGCTCCACCCTGATACTCTTAATCAAATTAATGTCCTCTTTGGTTATTGTTGTTACACACCAGTGATATTACAATTTAACATTTAGCACCAAGCAAAAAAATATAAGCTGGAAAAAAAGATGAAGGAAAAAATAATTTTATACTTCTCATATCTTGTTGTATATTAAAGCACAAAAATAAAAGGGGACCAAGCAGCTCTACAGAGCCAAAATGTCTCAAGTTACAATCAGATATCACAAGGAATCCTGCTGTGTGTTTGTCTACTGATCAATACAAATACATGTATTGATACCGTCCCAACATTTATGCACAAGTCTTTTCAGGGCACTTTATTAAATTCTATGTAGAGCAATCAGTAATGTTTATTTCTGTAAGAAAAAAGAAGATATGGTAATTATAAGAAGTCATCCAACTTTTGTTTCTATTCTGAATTGAGCATTGTTTCACATTTTGCGTCATGTCTCTTGTGGTATCTGGTGAACGTTCTATGCTTAAAAAAATATATACATTTGTGTAGATTTGGTGTGAAGAGAATTTTATGGTCATGCAATTCAAATGCAGGAGAGGGGGAAACATGATGTGGGTCTATTTGGGGAAAGGTAAATGCATGTATTTTAAATTTATGCAAAAGAAAAGCATTCAAATAAAACATGTAAATACAAGTCATTGCATGAAATAAATTTTATACACAACAAGCATTCAGACTTTGTTTTTTTTCAGCAGCACATGCATATGTACATCTTTCCTTTCCCACTGGCTTTGCCGCTAAGGTTTTCAACTGCGGATTGATGTTCTGACTATGTGTACAGAAAGCTGAAAATCAATAAATAAAGACAAAAAAATGGGGTGACTGTGAGAGCATGATGGAAAATACCCAAACGCATGACAATGACCGAACTACTCTACATCGAGTTGTAGAACGTGGCATGACTGGGCATGTTCATTATTAACCAACTCCAGAGTCCAACCGATGCACTCAGACGGTCCGTTTTGGTGTCTGACGCCTTGGCTGAAGCATGGGAACGCCATGGTAAACCAATCGTTTACCATGAGGAACTAACGGAGCACATGTTCTTTACCCTCCATCAATGCCATCCTTTCCACCATTTTACATAGATTCGTATAATAATTTATTTTTATTATTGTTTTTTTTTTTTTATATGTTTATAGAGAACCAACGACAGCACCGGAGCAGACAACCAACAGAGTCAGTTTGTGTTATGAACCATGGTGTACCAACCACTATGTGTATGACCCATAATGACCCATCACCCACTTGATAGTGCTGTAGCATTTTTTTATGTGTGTATAACTTAGTATTTTTAAATGGGTGTGACAGTGACAACCTGTACATCACAAACTCAGCATAGATGTAGCACTGAGGAAGTTTTGTTGTCAAGCCTTATATAGCTCAGTATCTGTGACTGGTTACTGTGTTGTAATCTGTGTGGCTATTTTTCGCTGTGTGCCAGTGCTGTAAATATGCTTTGTGTGTGCTGAATTTGTGCGTTCCAATGTTTTTGAGCAATCATCAAATATTTGTGTGCTGCTTCTGTTGAAAGGAAGAAAAAAAAAATGTTGCTCCAGATTTAAGTCACACCCGTGTCAGAAAAAAAAAAAAAAAACAACAACAACAAAAAAAAAACATTATCAATTGTCATGTCAGCCAGACTTAACAGTTGAAAAGAAATAATGAACTTTGCACTGTCCTGGTCATATCTTTGTAGGGTTTTGCACTGTTTTGCACCAGTGAATTTTTAACATTTCTCTGACATATTTTCAGGCATCAAAAAATAATATTCACAAGAAACCACTGTTGTTCCTTTTCTAAAAGCATCACTATAATTGAAAGTACTTAAGACTATAAGTATTATAGTATTGTACTAGTTTAAAAGGACAAAGACAGCATTTGCAGTGCCTTAAAAAAGTATGCATACCCTTTAAGCGTCACATTTTGTCTTGTTACAACCAGAAACAACAGTGTGAGTAATTAGAATTTTGAAATGCCTTGCTGCTGAAATGTGCTATACAAATAAAATTTGATTTGATTTGAAAGACATAAAGTCAGTCCAGACTTTGACTAGGCCATTCTAACTCAAGGTGCTGTGATTGAAACCATTCCAATGCATTTGTTATGTTTGAAGTTGTCATTCTGTTGGAAGGTGAACCTTCACCACACTTCCAAACTAACGCTGACCTTTGCCCCTGCTAAAAACTAAAGTATCCCCACACTATAATGCTGCCACCACAGCTTTTTAAATATAACTAGGGACTTCAGTTTTGGTCTCATCTTACCAAAGAACCTTTTTCCTGCATATTTGCTCATAAAAAGATTCTCACAATATCACAATGTTGAGTAAAAATATAACACTTTTACAGCATCACACAAAAATGTACATTATTATTGAAATGCCTAGTATTTGACACGAAAAAATAATAGTTTCAAAATTGCAAAAGTGATTCAACAGCATAACTGCAATAGGTATAAAGCCTCTTATTTATCCATAACTACTTTGATTTTGATAAAGACAAAAATTCTGAACAAAATTACAAATTTGTAGGACATTAGTAAAATTAGTCACTGTTTTAAAGTTCTTAGTGTTCAGAATGTTTTTTGTCATCCTATTTCTCACTGAAAAACACTGGGAGTATAACAAGCTGTAATCCATCCTGCTGACAGAAGGTAGTTTTAAAACAGTGCTACCTTCATGCAACAAGTGGGGCCACCGTTTCATGTCCCACATGGTAAAAGAAAAATCTAATCCCAGGTAATTTCTTTGACGCAACAAAGTCTCTTGACTGTAAGAAAATTAGTTTTAAAACAATGTGTTTATTTTTTGGCATCGTTTCATATGTAATTGAGTCTTATCTACTCCCCAACATGGTTTACGGCAAGCTGCAAACAGAACTTGTCCATTTATTTCAACAGTGCCTTTGTTCATGGTGATCTACAATAAAGACCAATTTCTGTGGAGACATTCCTTAGCTGAGATGTGGATCTCTGCAGCTCCTCCAGAGATGCCGTAGGCCTCTTGCTTTTTTGATTAATGCTCTATCGTTTGGCCTGTCAGCTTAGCTGGGCAGCCGCATGTTGTTCAGTTTGTAGTTGGTCTGTACTTTTTCCTGTTTTAGATGACTTTGCTCTTTGCCTTTTATAACCTAACTCTGTTTTAAGTTTCTTTATGACTTCATTCCTGAACTTTCTAGTTTGTTCCTTGGCCTTTATATTAATGTTTGTGTGCTGATGCAATCTAAAAACCCTTTGGGGCCTTCAATACTCTATTTATACTGCAATAAAATCATGTATGAATAATTTATTTACTTCTGAAGGCAATTGGATGCAGTTAATTTCATTTAGGGACTAAATGAAATTAGAGTAAGGTAATGTACATTTTCATGCCAAACTTTTCAAATTTTTATTTATAAAGTACATTAAAAATATGTGGTTTTCCCTTCAAAATTAGGGGATAATTTTGCATTATTACATAAAAATGTTTGTGGTTGTAACATGACATGAAAATGTTTAAGGAGGGAAAACACTTTTTTAAGGCGCTGTAGGATGTACGACTTTGCCATTACACACTTCAGACATCATGTTAATGTTTTGTAGTGCAGCTGTGATTTAATTGACAATCATGTAGAATAATTTTTGTTTCATGTACACATATGTGCATACAGATAGTAATATGTAATACCAACAAAGGCCAAACTGTTATCAACTTGGACAAGTGCCTCTAATATGCAAATCATTCTTCTCATTTAGGGGAATTACAGTGCATGACTACTTAATGCACATTTTAATTTACCAGTCACCAGCCATTGAAATTAATGCTCAAAATTACAGATGCAATAAGGAGCCCTGTGTGGATCAACCTCTACAGTAAAGCAATGAGCATACCTCTTAAAAAAAAACAAACTCAAAGGACCACCATTTGAGCACAAAGGGTCGATTCAATGTTTATGTGGAAAAGTTTGTGAAAAGGGACCAACTTATTACCCAACAACTGCAAACACACTGCCAACAACCTCTTGAGACCTGCGTGCATTCAGTTGAATCTGCCAGACAACAGGCTGAGCACAAATAGGGGACAGTATGTTGGTCAATGTTTAACAACTGAGAAAAAAGGGAAAAAAAAGCAATGGTTATTGTATAAAGAGAAACAACATGACAAATATGGCAACTAATGTGTGCTGCTTAGTGAGACCTTAGAGTGTGTGTTTTTGAACACCATGCATTTTGTGGCTACTTATCACAGTGATCGTTTTTATTGGTTTGTTGTTTAGGGATTTTTGTTTTGTGTGTTTTTTGACCAATACAGTTCAGACTTGTACAGAAATATTGATAAATAAATAATAATAATAAAAAAAAACACAGAAATAATCAGTATTCGGTGAGTGTTGATTTACTTTTATTTTTTTAGCCATCTGAAGTAAAAAAAAAAAACAAAACATAAATAATATACAAATTTCCACAAATACACTAATGCAAATCAACAAACAAATGACTAAAAAAAGATTCAAATCAAGCCAATGATAAACAGGAAATTTGGTATGATAAATCTGAAATGTAACAAATAGATTTTTGGAGGCATAAATTGCAGAGATCCATTTCATCAATCAATCAATCAATCAATCAATAATTAAGAGACTGGAACTGGGTCATCTCTCCTTGATTGGCAGATTAAATACTCCTAATTATCAACTGTATCCAAATTGAAACACACTCTTCATCCTTTTTGATCTGTAAATACAACCCACCAGCATAGACTCTTAATACACATTTTTTGCTATTAAAAAATAGATTATGGTCTTATGGTTTGATGCATAAATAGTGATTTTCTGGATTTTTTTTCCATTTCTGCTGGATGCAAAGCAATCCAGCAGCTTTTACATGATGAATGAACAGACACTGCCATTTGCTCATCAACGTAAAAAATTACAGCGTCTTCCAAACCATATAAAACCGTGTTTAAGTAGACCAATCATGAACACTTTATCAAGTAGCTGAGGTAGTTTTTTTAAAATGCAAAACCTATTACTCAGAGAAAGGGGAACTTTGCTTGGGCTCCAGTTCTTCCCAAGTGTGGACAGAATTCTGTGTTGAACTCGTCGTCACACCACACACCGCCATCGAGTGTCCAGCACCACAACCAATGAGAACAGGCCTGAGATCAGAAACGAGCCGAGGATGAAAGACGTCTGCCTGCGAACCGTCCCCACACATCCCGTGCTCGTTCCAGCCCCACGACAGGAGGCGCCCCCCTGAAAACAGAGAGAGAGCCGCCTTTGGTCAGTGACAGGAGGACACAGAGGGGAAAGGCTAAAATTAGACACATACAGGGAATGAAAAAAAAGACAAAAAAACAAAAACAAAACAGGCTGGCTACACACACACGCACACACACACACACGCACACACACACACACGCACGCACACACACGCACACAGAGCTCCTCTGATCTCCAAACACTGACACTTGGTCTGCAATGAAAGCCTCCCTTGCTCTTCACAGCTGGAGAGCTCATCAGTGGGTGTGGTCAGGTCTGCATCACCGAGGAGACACGTGTCATGGCAACACAGTTACCTAATAGGTCCCGTTGTCGTGGCAACAGAAGCGAGCTTGCTTTCTCAAGGGTAGCACGTCTTGGAGCGCTTGCCGTTCGCTGCCGTCGTGTGTGTGTGTGTGTGTGTGTGCCTTTCACGCCGTGTTTTCCATTTTGTTCCGTCGACTGGTCTCCTCGTCTTTCTGTGTTCTGTCTCTGAAGAATCCGATTTGGCTTTCCCTAACAGGCGCATTGTGCTTTGACCAGTTAACAGGGCAGGATAACTCGCCAGCAGCTCATAGTCTCATATTTGAGACTCTGCCAAATATGGCTGCAGAAGCGCTTGTAGTCGTGCCTTTAAGACAGTGCATGGATGCATAAGTATAGAGCGCATTTAGCATGTTTTAGAGTTTATAGGTGCTGAAGGCGATGTGTTAGCGGACGTCATGTGTTGAAGTGTCACAGTGAGAAAAAAAAAAAAATATCGCTGCTTAATTCATGGACTCACTGACAGCACATCAGTGTTTCCATGGCAACGAAGTGTCTGCACAATATTCTGTGCAACATAAGAATAAAAAAATATATAAAAAACAAACCGTGAGCCACTTCCAAGTGAACAAATCTGGCCACTGGTTTTCATTTTTGGCAGTTTAGAAATTTAACAAGTGACACAGCAGCACAGCTGCACCTTTTCTAGCCAAAGCTGCATGAATCCATAGAGGTAAAGATATACTATATCTAATATAAGATGCTTGTCCTTAAGTGGTCATGTTAAACTTAGGTAATCATTGAAATTTTTCCTCAGATTGGATGAGCTGTGCCCACAGAGTCTTTGGCCTATCGCCAACCTCTGACCAACGATGACAAAATTCATACTTGGCGACCTCTCTCTCGCTCAGGTGCAAATGGGCCTGGGCTTGAGCAGGCAACAGATACAAACAGCGTGCAATGCTCTCTATTCTCTTCCGCCTGACCTACTTCAGCACCAGAAATAGCAGCACTCAGGTCTGGGCTTCCAATCCTGTTTTGCTATTTCATTTCTCCTGCCACCACGCTCAAGACAGAAGGAAGAAGAAGAAGGAAAAAAAAAAAAAAGACATCACAAAGAGTCGGAGGTTCACACAAGCTCTTCTTCTACGTGTTATGCTTTCTCATCCCGCTGAAAGAACTTCACAAAGTACAGAGCAGAACTTTCACACATCAATGATTACTATGGACAGCCGTAACAATGTGCTAAAGCTCGCCCATGCTTGTTATTTTTACATTTGGTGAGAAAACGGACGGCTGGTCGCGTGGATGTTTGCAGCAACATTCAAGTCTCCTTTCAAATGGAATCTTGTAGCGCCACTTCTGAGTTGTTCTGTGGTATTTTTATTCATGCTGATGTAAAAAACTGGGTCAGTGTTCAAAATTTAATGTGAAGGATTTTACAGCCAAAATGTTTCTTATTGCTTGCTGAAACTATGGCAAAGCAGGGGAGGTTTGTGAAGCATGTACAACACAGAGGCATCAAAGTGTCTTTAAAAAGTTAATTTATGCAAGTGATTCAATTAAAAATGTGAAGATTCATTACACAGATTGTTTTTTTTTTGTGCTAATGTTGATGATTGCAGCTTCCAGTTTAATGTAAAACCCAAGATTCAGTTTATGAGAAAAAATAAAAAGTGGATTTTTGTCACGGGAATTAATGTTATTTCCATTAAAAAGTAGGGTAAGCCACAAAAGGTCATTCCTAAAGAAGCTCCTGTCAAAGGTTTGGTGGAAGGAAAGATTGTGGTGGGGAAATGAGAACAAGCGACAGAGAAAACCGCAGCCCTGAGTGGATTGTGAAGCACAGCCCATTCAAGAGAGATTTGCAAGGCGTGGACTGCAGCTGGCGTCACAGCTTCAGGAGCCACAGCAACACACAGACGTAAGAACTCTAACTACAAATGTTACGTTCCTTCTTTTAAGACACTCCTGAACCAAAAATAGCATCAGCAGCATCTTACCTGAAGAAAAAGGACTAGACTGCTGATTGCTGTTCCAAAAGTCCCCATTTCAAATGAAAGTAAATTTTTAAATTCACTTGGACGTCAAGGTGTCTTTTTTTAATTAGTGGTTACAAGAGGCTGTTTTGGTTTACATTCATTTATGTGGACTGAAGGAAATTACTCTCATAACATTTGCCTGTAAATGTGTTTTGATGTGTGCCCGTGTGTGTGTGTGTGTGTGTGTGTGTGTGTGTGTGTGTGTGTGTGTGTGTGTGTGTGTGTGTGTGTGTGTGTGTGTGTGTGTGTGTGTGTGTGTGTTTGTGTGTGTGAGTGTGTGTGTGTGTGTGAGACTGTGGTTAATATCGTTCCTGTTAGGCCTGTTTGGGTAATTGCCTCTGTCAATGATATCCATCTATCTATGCTGTAATTACTTCTTGATGAAAGGCCACGAAGGAAAGTACTGACCCCAAAAAATCTCTGCTGCTTAACAAAGATGATTTTTTTTACACTGCTATTTGACTCTAATGTATTAGGTAGGTCTCATGCTAATTCTTTAATACCGTATAAAGAACGGGTTGGAAAAGGTTCTGCTCACCTTTGTGTCTACGTTATCCTTTATGCAGTCATGTCAGTTCAGCAGAGACGTCTCGTGTTTCAGCCACAGAAACCAATAAAGCTCTTTTCTGACATGAGATATGCAACTTTAATGGCTTTGTGAATCTGTTAAAGTGCCGGCTTTCAGTCATTTAGACACAAAATGATATTTACAGCGGGGCTACACGCCATCGTTCAAATCCATGACAGAATGAGGCTTGGTGTCTGTGACCTGATGATTTACAACGTGGAAAATGAGAACTGTCAATATTTTTCTTTCTAACTACGTTCACACCAGATGTTGCCAACATCTGAAGGAATCCATATATTTAAAAAAAATCACCAAAAAATCCAATTAAGTTCTGTGGAATACTGTGGAATGGCATAGGGAATGGATGTATTACTTTGTAGAAAAGCCTTTGTTGGAAATAATAATAATAAAAACAATTGTATTCAAGTCAAGAGCTTAGACCATTCTACTCTGCAAAAACACAAAATCTTACAATGTAAGTTTTGTCAAAGTTTGTTGTGAAAACATTTTAGTACATTTGAAATAGGACAAACTAACCTACAAGTAAGTTAGCAAGAAATATGAGCTTATTTTAATATTGATGAAAAAGTACTATTGTAAATATTGGAATACAAGAAATTTTCCAAAATTATAAGATATATATAGTTTTGTGACGATCATTGTCTTACTGAAATATCCATCCTCATTTCCTCTTTTGATAAATTACCACATTAATGGTTATTTATATGGTCATAATCATCATAAATGTTCTCAGTCTGCTATAGTTGAACTTTTCCTTTAAAGTTTGCAGCACATTTGTAAAAAAAAAAAGTCTTATAGAACAAAAATGTCAGAAAAAATGTGAACTGTTTGAATGAGAAGAACATGCTCACCTACAATGGCAAGGTTGTGTTCAGATCCACATACAATCTGTAAAGAAAAAAATAAATAGAGTTAAAATATACAGAGGTCAGGTTTAACTTTAAAACCAGCTGCAGATAATATCACCGACTATCTCTTTTTCATGCCAGCTATTAGTGAGCGGAAAATTTTGGGCAGCAAGAGAATATTTCGCTTGTATTGTAACATTATCTGTAGATTCCCCCAAATCACAAAACACAATGCAGAAACTGGCTTTCAATAATTAGAGTGATCTATACGACCATTTCACTGCTTTTTGGCATCTAGCTACCTTAGATCAACTATTTTGAAATCCACAATAAAAGCAAATCATTTAAAACATAGGTGGATCATTGGTGGGGGAAAATAGATTTTTCATAAATTAAATCTTCAAAAGCCCAAAGTTTTATAAATTGTTCAAATTGATTTATTGCCCAACTCTGCTGAAACCACAGCAGCTCTGGACATTTCTGGAGGCTCCATTTCCATGGATACATGGAAATATATGCAACAGAAACTGATAAAGTTAATTGTTTTGGGGTTTTTTAGATATATTGAATTTATACAGTTTTGCACTTCATATTGTAAAAGAACTGTAATGGAATGATTACCCTAATAACCTTCATTACACAAGTAAAATAAGGAGTTAATGCTGTCATTTCAGAGCTATACTGCTGAATCCAAACCTTTGCAGATCTAACACCCTTTTTCTCTCCTCCCTGTTCACAGCACTGACTGTTGAATAAATGTGTTAAAGATATTTATATTTTTATGGTAATTACCTAATGCTGTGCTGCTGATACAGGCCTGTGTTTGTAGCAGAGGCTGAACTGCATTGACAGGGCTCGGTTTTGGATAAAACCTACACCTTAGGCAACACATAAAAACAAATATTAATTCCTGAGCAATTTGCTCCTCCTTGTATGTTTTTATGTCTCATAATTCAGTTCGTCAGTATTTAAAGGGCTTAAAATGGGGAGAGGAGGCTAAAAGATTTATGGGTCTCTCAGCTATTTTATCCCGCTTTTCTTTATGCGTATAAATAGAGACACACAAAAGATAATCTCTGTTTGGCACGGGTCAGTGCAGCCGCAATGATCTGTACTCAGTGGAGGAAGGATCAAACACTTACCCTTGCCCGTCCCTGACATCAACTTTATTGACAAAGCCTTCCAGCAGCCTTTCAGACCACAGGTTAACTGCTGCAGCCCTGATCCTCACCATCAATTACTCTTATGGGAGAGGAGATGTTTACCTTCATTAAGCAGTTGTCGTCCGATGCATAAATAATGACCTCCATCTTTTCTATGCACGAAATCACTATGAATTTTCCCTTGACATCAACAACAGCAACTGTTTTCTCTTTGGTCGTCTGGCGCCCTCTGCTGGACTGCTGTTGACATTTCAAATCTAATTTGTCGAGTACAATACAAAACCAAGACTCCCAACAGTGAAGTCTTAAATTTTGGACCTTTAGGCAGATACAAGGACAATTAGATGCTGCAGACTGTGTCTCACCTGAGTTGCTCCGTAGAGGGATGTAACTTCAACAGGGATGCAATCCTTCTTGATTCCCATCAACATCTCTGCGTCCTCACTGGCTGAGGCTGATCGACCAAGCTGTCCATAATCTCCTCTCCCCCATGTGAATACTCTGCCTCTCTCTGTGAAATAAATAAATATTTTATTTATCTATTGTCTGAAATGCAATGAAAAACACAGATTTGTATCCTTTTTAGATGCAGAGGGGTGACTTGAAATGTTATGAACATACAAGAAACCCTGCAAACATCTCAAAATTAATAAAATTTCAAGCATTAGTAAATTGTTCTAATAGTTTCCTCGGCTCAAAAACACTTTATTGTTAATATCTTGGGATTAAAACAAGGTTGATTTTTGGCATTTATTTATAATTAAATCCCTTTCTTTCCCAGAGGGAAATGAGATAAGACTTTAATATGTGAAGTGAATATTTAATGGAATGTCCTATTTTTTTCCACATGACTGAAGCTAAAACATATCAGGTCTCCAAGTTATCCTGCTCCTGGCGAGTATCTCAGTCACAAGCTGAGCTTCTACACCTTTTGTACCTGTTTGAGCAACAACGTGCGTCCAGCCGCTGCACACACCCGTAACCTTCTCTCCCTTCAGCAGAGATCGATGCAGCAGAGTGGGAGAGGGCAGGAAGGGCTCTGCTGTAGCCAGCTGGCCATGTTTATTGCATCCCCACAGGAATAATTCACCTTCTTCTGCAAAACCCCCCCAAAAAACAAAGGCAGAGCAGCAACTGAGTCATTTGTCAACTAACTCCAGGACAGATGCGAGGTCAGACTCAGCATATGAGAACAAAGTCAGACACATCCCATCATGAATGATTGATTATAGCAAAAATTGGTATAAATTACCAATTAATTTGGTAATTTATACCAAATTAAGTGAACTGGCATTATATTTACTGAGAGTTTTGATAAACTATGGTGCCATGTATGATTCAAACCTCAAGAACTGAAGCTAAGACAGAATTCCTTCACATAAAGAACGTTAATAAAATGTCTTTCTCAAAATTCAATGCAGTGACCTCCAGGAAAAAATATTGCAAAACTTTCTTCTAGTCTTTAAAAGGAAAATAAAACATGGTGCATCACGACAATTTATACAAAACTCACAGCTAGCAGAGCTCTCATTCCATTTCAAACTGAATTCCAGTGATTTTTTTGGATTGATTTTAAAAGTCGCTTACTGCGTTACAAAAAGTCACTCATGTTTTTTATAACTACTTTCTGACTCCCAGAACCCCAGATTGGCTGATCTATGTATTTTATTCATTTTAAGCACAAACAATACATTTTGATGTGTGATGTGACTTTCCTGGGGATCTGAGAGCGGCAGAGATTTTGTGTTTTAAGCGCTAAAAACCATATTTCCATGTTCAAATACTAGAGTACTTAACAATACAAAACATTAATATTTTTTTAGTTTCTGCTTGTTAGTTTAAGCTAATTAGCACAGATTTTTTGTTCCCTACCTGTTAAACACACACAGTGTGCTGAACCTGCTGTTACAAGCTGTGCTTTCCTCTGGCCGAGACCTGCAGCATTGGGTGCAAACACGTGTCACACAAAAATGATTCATTCCACCACTGTTGTTTTTTTCAGCTCAGTGCATGTTACCTGGTACCGGACAGGGAAGTTTGGAGTTCAGATGTGAGGGAACAGGGTGGGGACTGAGCGCTCTCTTAGCATGACTAAAAAGACCAGTTCCCCACTGATACATGGAGCCCGAGGCTGACAATTAAACAGAAAAACAGAATTCTTGGCTTTACTGTTAAGTTAAATTACAATACAGAAAAACAAGACAGACAGCATATGGGGATACCTTACCACTAATGGCGAGTGAGTGTCTCAATCCTGCTGCTGCTCTCACTACTGGCTCTTTAAGAGCCTGACAACAAACATCACAATAATAATTAGATCATAAAAAGAGGAAGAGATGTTTATAAAACTCTAAAACAGACAGAAATTATGTATTTTTATATCTCATGTGACGTATACATAGCATGTCATATTTTATACTTTTATTACACACAGAAAAACATGTTATTTTTACTTATCTTATAACTTAATTAGACAAATGTAAAAATAAAACACACTGATAACATGTACTCACCTCAACAGCTAGAAGCTCAGAAGAGTGTGGGACTGTCTGTCCAACACCCAACTGTCCAAATGCATTAGAACCACATGCAAGTAGTTGACCAGACTCTGGAGAAAAGAAAAACAATGGAAAAATAAAAATGACATACAGTCACAAATCTCTGCAGGGGTAGAATGAAAGTCCAATCAATAAAATATAGACATTATGAATAAGCAAAAAATGTTTTATCTGGTTGCTTAAAGATTCTAAAGAGTCGCAATTACAATGGACATTTCTTTAAACACATCTTAAAAAAAAGTAATGACAAGTCTAATCTAAAACCACTGTAATGACAAAAAACATCAATAATTTCTATTCAACTGACAAAATGTTACAAAGAAATATTAAAACAAAAATATAAAATGCAGAACAGATTTTCTGTTTTTTGAAGAAAAAAGGCAACATAGCAGTGGTTAAAATAACCTTATTTTAGTGACATTACGTATGAATAAAACTATATTAACCGATTCTCTGTGAACCATTTGTTGTTAAGATGCGGCTTCTCAGAAGCGTTTTCTGCTCACCGGTGAGAAGAAGTGTAAAATCCCAGCCGCAGGCTACATTTGTGACTCTGTGATTCAAGACAGGGCAGAGCTGAAGAGTTAGGACGTTAGTACTGTGACCAAGTCCCAGCTGGCCTCTGTGATTCTGTCCACAAACAAACACCTCTCCACTTTCTGCTCGACAAAAAAGAACAAAACTCTTAGGGAGAATAACCCACACATTGTTTAATTTGTTGTTCAAAATGTGAATCCTTGTTTAAAGTTATCACTGAGGTGGAATCACGTTAGTATTAAGTCTTAAGTCCTTCATCTCATGTGAATCTGAAGTAAAAGCAGAGGAGCTTTGAATACATTGAATATGTAATTCACCATCAGAGCAACAGTAAATAATTTCCAAAATTCAGAGGGTGTGTAAAAGTCACGTCTTAAAAGCGTACTTTTTATTTGGTTCACAATCTCAAACCTTCTCAAGTCAAACAAAATTTTAAATTGCTGGTTACAAGTCTCACATACTCATGTATTTTATGGTTGGATCAAGTCCAATAAAAAAGTAATTAAATGGACATCATTTTGAGTTATAATGTGATTTAATCATACAGACACAGTGTCTGGAGAAACAGGTACGTCTCACAGGAACATGTGAGAAGTATTATGCTTTAATTGAACTGCTACATAAGACACAGCAGTTTTGGAGAGTGTAGTATAAAGGCATCATAAAGAGTAAGCAACTTTTTCCTTCCCTTTATTGTGGCATTATTTGTTTTATCAGCTTGACAAAAACCTGCAGTTCAATCATCCATCCAGCAGAGGTCTCCCTTTAACCTCCTAAAGAGTTTTCCTCACACAACTCGGTACTATCAGTGGTTTTAAATGAGTTCTGTGAAAACAGCATCTCACCGGTGAGAACCACAGAATGACCCCCTCCTCCGTCCACAACACGGACCGTCCTGCCCTGCAGAGCCGAGCTGTCAGAGAGCCACGGTACGCACTGGTCCTCCACATGGCTCTGACCCAGCTGACCGTAGCTGTTGGCTCCCTGAAAACAACAACGCACATATAAAACACATTAAACAGAGCAGACAAATAATTCCTATCGTCGAATATTCTCCAATTATCCATACACGGATGGTTGTTTGGGCGGTTGTTGCAGGTAAACTGTGAGCTAGTTAGGCTAACCTTAGCTAAAGTTTTAAAAATGTAATCATTAAGGTGCCACGTCACTCTCCGGAAGTGAGTACTTTATTTAACATATGCACACGATCTGACACTGTTTATTCCTAAGGAGAACAAACTTACCCAGGCATGTAAACAAAACGTAAGACGTGAATGTGTTTCCATGGAACACCCAGCTGGAAACCGGACATGGTTTACGGCACTGTCGCAATTTCCAGGCACGCTCTGAACAAGTCATTAAATTGTGAACTGCAGCCGGGGAATATACAAATAAGGCGTTCAAATGTTCCCTTTATCTATGATTAAGAGTTTCTATTTTTCTATATTTATGTTTAGATACACTTATTATTGAAATGTGAGCTGTAATTTTTTTTAAGTTACATTGTTAATTCAGCAATACTTAACATGGGGACCTAGATATTATTGCTTGTGGTTGTAGATTATGAGAATAATTTTATCAGTTAAATAATCTGATAGGATTTAGGAAGGATTTTGATAGTTGAGGTATTACTGGACCGGAGAAAAAATCTTACAAAGACTGAGAAACAAAACTGTCCCATAATTATTTGATTTTATTCCTTGGGGATCTCCTGAAAACTGATCATGAGGATGGGTGAGGAAACAATAGATTCAATTAGGTTTTGCTTTATTTAACTTTAATGCTGTTTAAAGAATAAATATGTCTGCAGCATTGGATTTCAATAATAATAAAAAAAGCATTTTAAGACACAATCCAACTTTTTATTGAGGGTTTTTTTCAGTTTTATACACAGCCTACACCTATTCACTATAATTCTTTACAGTAGAAAAATAATGTTTGGATTTCCAGACTATGACAACTGTAGTCACATTTGGAAGAAGTATTCAAAGTCATTACTGTAAAACAAGCTGCGTGCACAGGTCAATCTGTTATAATCAATCATGAAAGCATTCTTATAACACTGGTGAGTTAAAGTTTTATCTTTCATAATTTCCTTCAAACAGCACACAGAACAGAGGAGGACAAAGAGAGCAAAATAACAAAAACAAGATACAGATTATCTCTCCAGAAAAAAAAAATTCAAAAAATCAACAATCACACAACATCAGAGTAAACTGAAAAGGAAGAATCCATTTAAGTGTTTTTTTTAACAACAGGAAATGTTTGAAAAAAAAAAAAAAAGAAAGTACATTGAGTGTTTGCGATACAGATTTCAACACAATGAAAGCAAAACTGGTGCGTCAGATAAAGCAGCTCTTTGGGTTTGTAGAACTTACTGACTTTAAAAGTGAAACACGAGTATCTAATTCGCCTGTAAATAGTTTTAGTAATACACCATGCAGTGAGAACAACTGAGAATCTATCCATAAAGTGATGCACATTCATTTTAGTCACAAAAACATAAGCAGACATTGCTACAGCAGCGCTGGGTGTCACATGGTGAGTGTGGATGAGCCGGAGATGGCTAACTTCAGTTGAACAGCATTCAGTCAGACGCCCAGCTGCTTGTTGAGCCTGCTGAGAGCGTCACCCACGATATCAAGCTCGTGCCGGAGCTCCTCGACCACACTGTTGATGCTGGGAGTGTCTTTCAGCACGTCTACGCTCTGAGTATAGGGGTTATATCGAACTGTGAAGGGACGCTTAATGGTCTTGGCAAACTCCCTGAAAAAAAAATTGCGTGCTTAGATATATGCAAAGATGCCAAGATAATTTTTATCCTCAGTATGATGCAATATTATAAAAAAAAAAAAAAAAAGATCAAATGAACAAACCTCATCTTGACTTTGGCTTCCTCAAAACTGTCTGACACAAAGTAAACATCCTGAAATGTTGTGATGATGCATTCCTGCTTGCTCGTTACTTTGGGGTCAAAAGGCATTATCCTTGCATTTCCAGAGAGCGCATGCTGTAAGAAAAAGAAGAATGTGATGAAAATGCTTGAAATTATGTTAATGCTTGCATTTGGACCATTGTGTTCCATAAAAATGTCTTTTCATTGTGTTTATCAAACGTAGACCGTCAAATGGACAATACTGTATGTATGTTGTAATTATGTTAAATTTGAAACCTTTTCCAAACAAATGATGTCAGAAATAAGTTTTTGAATTAGGTTGCACTCCTTATGATCTTGACGTAATGTTTCCTACCTTAAGCTCACTGATTGATGACAGCAGGCCCGCTCCATATGCTCGCAGCTGCCCTTCTTGTTTGCATAGGCCAAACTCCACTGTGAAAAAGTAGCACTGAAACATAGACAAATATATATAAGAGTTGGCAACATTTATCAAAGAACATTAAATAAGGTTCGGCTGAAAACGAGAAACTCACTGTGGCCAGTTTCTGAACAGAATCATCTGAGGCTCCGAGCGAAGCAAGACCAATCTCCTGAGAGAACTGGGCGAAGCTGGGTTCTGCTAGCAGCGGAACGTGTCCCAGCAGTTCATGGCATGTGTCCCTGTATGATGGACAATAAGAGAATAAATATCCCTATTGCAATAACAATTTATTTTCAAAGGAAACAGATAAGTCTACTCACGGTTCTGGCGTATACAAGGGGTCAGAGCTGTGCCGCACATACTGGGTACAGTGGAAAACCCGGAAGGCCAAACCAGCGAGGAAGTCCCGTGGGGACAGGTAACCTGCCACAGGTCTGATGGTGAATCCAGTTCGTTCTGGAAAAGATGATTTAATTAAATGCTTGTGACTACATATGTAAATAATGAAGCATTAAGGTTTGATTGAAGATGGTTTGATGAAAATTACCTTTGAGGAAGCGGGAGACATCCTCCAGCTGAGGGATGTTGTCCTCCCGACATTCACAGTATTTGGACAGCAGTGGCAGATTCTTCAAGTATTCCCGGCAGGCGTGGGTGGGGTACAACTTGTTCAGCTCCCTGTACACAACGCCCCAAGTCTTCACTTCCTCCTCTGTGAACTCAATATGAGGAATGGGATCCCCACTGGAGAAAGACACAAAATTATGTAGGTATTAATGGTAGAAGAACAGAATGCTGCCTAATGTTGCACATGATTTCTGTGAACTTTGATATGGCTTTCCAAAAACTTCCCACCCACCCACCAATCTGTACCATAAGCTTTGTTGATGCCTTTTAGGGAATTCATAGTTAATTTTTACTGTTTGCTTTGCTCAAACAGTAAAGATGCTTTCCAGAAATATTGTAAAGAAACTGGAAAGTAAATACAAAACTTTGTGAAAGTGCAAGCTTTAATTTTATAAGAAGCGTAACTAAATGAAAATTGTAAATAAGCTCAAAATTCCTTGAAATTGTCCATTAAATTCCAGAAAATTAAACAATAAATTCCATGAGAGTTCCAGGGAAGTGCCTTGTCTCAGTTATTTGAAAGAACCTGATAAAGTCATATAAAATAGCCAACATCTTCCCTGAAAATCTAATGAAAGTACTTTGTAAGTTTTGGAAACCAACCTCTTAGTTCTGTGAAAGTAGTTGGAAAGTTTAATGAAAGTACCTGTTAGGTAAACCTGCTAGGTTTACCTAACAGGTGTTACCCTCAAAGTTCTGGGAAAGGTATATATATTTAAAATAGCTGTTTGAATACATAGAAACTCACTGTCTGTAGGTCATAGCAAGATCAGCAAAATACTTCCGTCTTTTGCGGTAGACATTGTCCTTAAAACCCTGGAAATGAGAAGAATTGCTTTATAAGAATGTGCCTTATTTGGGAGGGTTTACCTCTTGAAAACCATTCAGTAGTCTGATACTTTACCGGATGGTCGGCATCCAGCTCAGATCCATACATCAGGACACGATTAGCACACTTGTCCAAGTCAGATATTTTCTTTGGAAACCAAGGTACATCGTACATATCTGAAAAGAATTTGGGAGGATGTTGTAGAATTCATTTCTAATGCACTTGAAACTGATTTTAAAAAACCCCAAAACCCTGTCACAATTTAGATCTTTGCTCCTGTCTTTACCTTCTTCAAGCAGACAGGAGTTATCTGGAGGGTCCATGTCCACCACATTCACATGCTTCCGAAGCAGATGGATGATTTCGTTCAGTTGTTCGTGGTTGCTGTCGCAGTCCACAAAAATTTCAAACTCAGAGTTGCGCCTTTTGGATTTTCTGGACTCAATGTGTATGAGGTTGACATGGTTTTCCTGCAAGAAACAGTAAAAAAAAAACAAACGCATGTCATGCTGATTCAACTGATGCAACTGATGCATAACACACTCACTATTCAAAAGGTAATCTAAATTGAAAAAATTGAAATATTTAAAATAAATTCGCTCGTACTTGGAAGAGTTTGAGAGCCTTCACAAGTCCTCCCACTTCATTTTTCAGGGAGAAGATGATCGTTGCTCTCCCTTTCTCGGATGAATTCTTCTTCTCTGTGTTTTCTTCGATTTTTGTGAAGCTTGACTTGTTTATCTGTGGATCAAAACCAAAGATTGGTAAGCTCTTGAATCTATGTTCACGAAAAACGCGTGTTACGCTCGAACCAAAGCTTAGCGCGCGTAATGACGCGAATGGACAACTTCTAATCACTTAAGAGCATCGAGCGATCCGAAAAATCCTTCGAACATCTTGTCTCTAGTGCGTGAGTCACTCGCACCAGAAGAAGTCAGAGTCAAAGCTGGACGCATTGAAAGGTAAATACTTTGAAGCACGAATATGTTGTTCTTAGAGATCCACACCGAAGTGAGCCGCAAACTGACAGGATTCAGTTTGGGCTGAGCGGCGCCGCTGTCCGTTTCAGCACGTTGGACAGCGCTCTCACGTTGACGCGTGGCTGCACACGCCAGGGGAAAATTCACATAATCCTGTCAGATCGTTCCGAGACGGCACCGCAAAACTAATCTAATTTAATCGACTGGAGCGTTGTTTAATTGACATTCAAAGGCAGTTACGATGCGATTCGAAAATAAAATTACTTGCAAAAAATGTGATGTTTCTCATGTGGATTTTTTTTGCAGTAAGATTACAGGTGGAGATCAGCTGCAAGAAAAAAGTAAAAACGACCTCACTTGATCTCTTCCTACCATGTTTCTTCCCTCGTTCATGGTTTGAAAGGCGCGGCAGAGCCGTTTTCCGTGCACCCTGGTTCTTATCGTCCCACAAAGCATTAGTGCATGGGAGACTGGATCAGGACGCTGGACAGGGGTCAACTCTTTGCGTCTCGGTTTAACGAGGATGAACTTGTCTCTGTCTCAAAGAATCGCCTTACAGCAATCTCA